TTTATGTGGTGCTGAGGAACCGAACCCAGGGCCTCATGCTTGCAAGGCATGCACTCTACTGCTGAGCTACCTTCCCAGCCCCGCCCATGAGACTCTTATCTCCAATTAACTACCAGAAAACGAAAAGTGGCACTGTGGCTCAAGTGACAGAGTGCTAGCCTTGAGCTGGAGTATCTCTCAGTGGTAGCCATATGCTTTAAATGCACAAGGCCTTGCACCAAGCCAGGTATTAGTAGCTCATGCCTGCAATCCTAGCTACTCAGGAAACTGACAAACAAAAACAAAAACAAAAAAATTCTGCAAACCTTCCTAGGGCTTGAACTCAGGGCCTTTGCTTGCTCTGCTGGCATTCTACCTTGTGTATGTGTGTGTGTGTCAGTTGTGGGTCTTGACCTCAGGGCTTGGGCACTGTCCTGAGCTCTCTTGCTCAAGGATAGCGCCCTACCACTTTGAGCCACAATGCCACTTTCAGTTTTCTGGTGGTTAATTGGAGATTAAGTCTCATGGACTTTGCTGCCTAGGGTGGCTTGGAACCACAATTCTCAGATCTCAGTCTCCTGAGTAGCTAGGATTATAGGTATGAGCCACCAGCTCTTGGCAGTACTCAACCATTTGAGCCATGATTCTAGACTAGATGTTTCAAAGTTGGAATGATCATTGGCTTTTCTGCCCTACTTCGGCTTCCTCAGCAGTGAGGATTATAGACATGTTCATAGCTATAACCTAATAGCTACAACAGTGCTTGGCACAAGGAATGTGCAAAAAAAAGGAAGGAGGAGGAGGGGGGGGGAGGAGGTAGGGAGAGAGGGAAGGAAGAAAAAGAAGAAACCTACCAAATAGCTTTTCCTCTTCCAGGCCACTTCATGTATATAGCATTTGGTGGTAACTTAATCATCACATAATTTTCACAAGAACAGCACTTTTAACAGCACAAAGGCATACTGTTCTGTGCATATAAACCCATAATAGAAGCATAAAGACATGTAAGACTATAAGGCCCAACAGACATTTAACAGAGGTAAATGTTAATTTGAAAGGTACTTCTATGCTGGGATCCTTCTCATAGCTACACTCTGGACAACAGGATACTAAATTTCACAAAGAAAGGCCATCCCTTGCAGGGAAGGTATGAGCTGCCAGTCAAAATGCTGTTGTTTTTTTTTTTATTTGTGAAAATACCATACAGAGGGGTTACAATTACATGGGCAAGGTAATGAGTACATTTCTTTTTTTTTTTTTTTTTGGGTCCGGTCATCGGGCCTGAACTCTGGGCCTGGGCGCTGTCCCTCAGCTCTTCAGCTCAAGGCTAGCGCTCTACCACTTGAGCCTCAGCGCCACTTCCGGCTTTTTTCTTTTTGCTTACGTGGTGCTGAGGAATTGAACCCAGGGCCTCAGGCATGCAAGGCAAGTGCTCTACCACCTTCCCAGCCCCATGAGTACATTTCTTATCAAGCATTGTTGCCTCCTCCTTTGTTTCCCCTTCCCATCCCCTCCCATTTCCCACCCACCCTCCCCCCACCAAAATGTTAAGTTTTGAAAAGATGAAACTATATTTTGATCTACAAACATTTTTTTGTATGCCTGAGCTTGAGCTCCAAAGAGTCTCTCAGATTTTTTCATTCAGGGCTAGCCCTCTATCCGCCTACTTTTGATTTTTCCTGTGTAAACTGGACATATGAGTCTCATGGACTTCTCTGCTTAGGCTGGCTTCAAATACTGATCCTCAGAATTCAACGTCTAAGTGGCTAGAATTGCAGGTATGAGCCATCAGCACCCAACTACAAAAGGCAGATACAGAAATAAAGGAGTCTGAGCTGGGCACCGGTGGCTCATGCCTGTAATCCTAGCTACTCAGGAGGCTGAGATCTGAGGATGGCAGTTCAAAGCCAGCACAGGCAGGAAAGCCCGTGAGACTCTTATCTCCAATAAACCACTAGAAAACCAGAAGTGGTGCTGTGGCTCAAGCGGTGGAGTGCTCGCCTTGAGTTGAAGAGCACAGGGACAGTGTCTAAGCTCAGAGTTCAAGCCCCATGACCGACCAAAAAAAAAATTTTTTTTAAAGGGTCTGATAGTATCACAAAGAATCAAGTTCATACACTTTAGTCATTAGAGAATCAAGTTTTTATTTGTATCTTTTTAAAAATTTTTGCTTGTCCTGAGGCTTGAACTCAGGGCTTGGGCACTGTCCCTGAGCTTCTTTTGCTCACGGCTAGTCCACCACTTGAGCCAAAGCACCACTTCCACCTTTTTCTGTTTATGTGGTAGGAATTGAACCTAGAGCCACATACCTAGCTCCCATAAATTTTAATCTTGAAATTATAATCTTGGCTACTAGTTTTTACACCTATCACAGCAGAGGAATGCAACACATCTAGAGGTGGATTCTGGATCTCCAAAAAGGCCTAACTTCAGAATCTGATTTTTCTTTTTGTCATGGGCTTAAACTCTGGGCCTGGGTGCTATCCCTCAGCAGGTCAGCTCAAGGCTAGTGTTCTACCACTTGAGCCATGGTGCCACTTCTGGTTTTCTGGTGGTTAATTGGAGATTAAGTGTCTCAAGGACTTTCCTTGCCTGGGCTGGCTTTTAACCATGATCCTCAGATCTCAGTCTCCTGAGTAGAAAGGATTCCTTGTTGAGCCACTGGCACCCAGCTTTCCATTCCTTTTTAGATACTTGTGTGTTCTGGTACTTGAGCTTGAACTCAAGGCCCTTAACTTTTTTGCTCTAGACTAGCACTCAAGCAGTTGAGCCAGAACTCCACTTTTGCCTTTTTGTGGTTTAATTGGGGATAAAATTCTCAAGATTTTAGCCGGGCACTGGTGGCTCACGCCTGTAATCCTAGCTCCTAGCAGGAAAGTCTGGGAGACTCCAATTAACCACCAGAAAACTGGAAGTGGCACTGTGGTTCAAAGTGATAGACCACTAGCCTTGATCAAAAATGCTGTCAGTGCCCAGGCCGAGTTCAAGCCACACGATTGACAAGACCAAAAAAAAAAAAAAAAAAAAATATATATATATATATATATATAAAATAAGAAGCAAATTATAGCTATGATCCTTTAATGATAACACTAATGATAACACTAAACGCTTAAGTCAGATTATTATTCTAGGTATGTTGAAGGAGCACAATGGGGCTTGTTTTGTACTGGGAAGCAAGCAATAAAAGTATGACATAAGTAACCACAGGTGGCAGTACTAGACTGATGCAGAATGACCATAAATTCAAGATCAGCTTAGGCTACATAGGAAGACCCTATCTCAAAAAACTGAACAGAAGAAACTGAATAAAGCAGGAAAATAGAAGTGAAAGCAGAGTGGCAGGTGTTACTAATGTAGTTGTAATTCAGTATCAATTATATCTCCTGTCATATTTCCTTCTAGAAAATTGCTAGATGAGACATCCTCAGAAAGCAGATTGGAGATGTAGCTAAAAGGTAGACCATTTGCTTAGAAAAAAACCCCACATACACACATTTAAGTGTATGAAGGGGGCAGGGTAGTGTTTGGTGGAATGTCCAACTATGTAGACTGCTACTATTTCCTGGAAAAAGTGACAACGGAATTCTCAAAAAGAATTTCGTAAAAGCACTTAAGTACTTTACCCTCAAATATCTTAATATGTTCATTACACTGGCCCATGTAACTAAAATTATTATCAAGAGATTGCTTCAGTTGACTTGGCCCCAATTATCTAAGCAATAACATCAATAATTTACTAGTTCTGGAGTTTAAGACCCTTGACGGGCGGTAATACAGTCCACTAAAGGTTAAACTAATTTCAGTGGCTGTCCAAACTCTGGGTTCTGAGTACACAAGATGTTTCCTAAGCCTTTTGATGTCTATTACTAGAGCTCCAAACTCCCTTCAGTTCAGCAGCCTCATTCCACACTGGCTTCTAGGGTTTGCATATTCTTATGTGTAATGTCTAGTAAGACTCTGGCATTATCTTGTGCTCCTGGGAAACTGCCACTCTTCTAAGTTGCTTTGTAAGTGAACATCAAAACACCTGTAAACTTTATTTTTGCCAGCCATGGGGCTTGAACTCTGGGCCTGGGCACTGTCCCTGAGCTGCTTTAAGCCACAGCGCCACCTCCAGTTTTTTGTTTGTGGTACTGAGGAATTGAGCCCAGGGCTTCATGCATGCTAGGCAAACACTACCACTAAGCCACATTCCCAGCTCAAAGCTTAACTTTAAAATTATGCCTAAATGTTGAGTAGCATTTAAATGTTAAAGCTAAAAATAATTGGCTTCCTTGAAATTTGAAACAACTCCTTTCCCTCTATTACATTCTCATTACTACCTACAATTAACTTTTAAGCTCTTATTACTTTTCAATTAGTAAAACAAATGTTATTTATACTTTCCAGGAAGAGTGGGACTCAAGCAGCACAGCTCAGTCAGTGGCACAGGTTGTACTGAACATGAGCTTCAAGTTTAATCAAACACCATCAAAGAGCAACATAAAACTTCATTTGTATAGGTGTGTAGTGCTAGGAACTGCTTACCAGCGAACCACATCCCCACCCCTGTACAAAGGTTCTTAATGTGTGCAAATTATTAACATGGCCTTTTCCCTCAACCAGGTCAGATTCAGAGCCAGCACTTCAAATCAGTTTACAAACCTGTTCCCATTGCAGCATTTGAAAAATAAATTTTGTCGAGAGCACTGCAAGCTGTGAATGAAGTTACTCTCTTGATGGAAACACATGGCTCAGGGATTTCGTGGTCAGCAGTTTAAACTGTTCATTTACTATTTTAATAATTACTCCAAGAAACTATTTTTTTAAGAGTTGTTTTAACATACTTGCTTACACTTACACGAGTTGTACAGACAACAAAACTAAGTCTGGAAGTGCTTGTTCACATTTTCTCTGAAACCATTTACTTGAATATTGAAAGCAACAGATTTAAATTATGAACTAAAAACAGGTCATTTTCAATGTATGTGCTCTCATATAATACATCAAAATACAAGTACTTATCTTAAGCAGTCACACAAGTCTAAGCCACATTTATTTGCACATGTATAGTAATGGGCAACAAATACTCCATACAAATTTATAAAACAACAAAGTTATCACCAGGTACACTTAGCGTGTTATCTTGCTTACATAGTCAAGTCTAGATGAACTTCCTTCATTTTGTAAACTTCCATACAATGGTTCCTTGAACAAAACTTCTCTAAAACACATATTGGCATATTTAAGTTAGAGCCAACACAAACGTTAAGACAAGACCACAAATTCGAAATCCAAGTTTAGAAGATTCTTTTACCTCCCTCCCTTAGAAAGAAGTAACTATTAGTTTAACAGATCGCATATACTGTTAGCACAGAGGTAACCACAAAGACAGAAGAATGATGCTCCCATAATCAGGAAAATGACAACCAAAATGTACTAGTTTACGTTATCTACCAACTATACGGTCTGAACAAAAAATAGGAAAACGCTTAGATTAACAAGGGAGATCAGAAAATAGTAAATGATTATAAAGAGAACTATTCCCATTCAAAGCTGCAAAGACCTGACAGCTAAGGCCAAGTAAGTGAGGAAATCTTCAAAAACATTCTAATCTTTTTCTAGTGATAAAAACTGAAAATGATATCAAGAGGTTATTTATTATACAAGCGTCAACAAGGACATCTCAAATATAATGAAATGAACATTTATTTCTACAAAAGTAATGTATGATACAGAATTAGAAGGGAAAAGACTTAAAAGATTTACCTATTAAAATATACAGATTCTTACTGAAGCATATAGGATATTTAAAAAAGATGACAAGGGATGTTAATCTTTTTATTATTATTATTTTTACATATTTTGGAACCTCACATAATTTTGATAAATAACTCTTACAAAATTATGCAAAAAGTACAAGAATGTCTGGTAAACAAACAGTCTGTATTTTCCAAAAAGATTTTTTACAACATGCAATTCTTAAGGCAGCATCCTCCTTACAAGGAAAGGTAATCCTTTAACTCATCAAGAAATCTTCTGCTGCAAAGAATAGGCTAAGAAAGGCTGGCTTCTTCCATTAACGCCTTTTGTCTTTCCTGTCTGATTTTCGGTCTCTCTCACTTCTTGAAGATCGTTTGCCCGATCGACTACTCTCTGATATAGACCTCTTTCTGTCAGACCGGGAATTCTTATCCTTCGATCCTTTTGTATCTCTACTACTACCACCTTTTGAAGATTTGTGACTTCTTTCTAATCCTGATGTATCCCTTCGCTTCCGATCCATGCTCCTTCTGTGCTTTCTGTCTCTATTGTGTCCCCGACCCCTACTTCGACTTCTACTCTCACTGCTACTAGTAGTGCTGCTGCTACTATCTCTGCTACTACTACCACTTGTACTGGAACTACTACTAGAACTGCTTCGACTACTACTGCTGCCACTGCTAGAACTGCTTCCGCTGCTGCTACTGGTTGAACTGCTACTAGAACTACTGCTGCTACTGCTCCGACTTCTACTCTTGCTTGTTTTATTTCTAACTCGACCTCTACTTCTACTCCTGGTTTTGGTTTTACTTTTGCTTTCTGAGTGCACTGTTAAAACTGGTTCCACTACTGGCACCTCAGTGAGCTTTACAGGCTCAACAGGAAACTCTTTCCTCTCAGGTAGTTGATTCTCTTGTTCCTGAATAACCTGCGGTGGTGCCTGTGAAATAGCTAATGTCAATGTCTCAGGCTGAGAGAGAGGCTGGGGCTGATGTACTTGCTGGGGCTGAGACTGAGGCTGGGGTGGAAGGAGGGACTGAGGCTGAGCCACAGGCTCAGGTTGGGGTTCAGATTCTTTTTCTTCTTTTTCCTCTGATCCTTTTTCCACTTCTACAACACTAACATTCTCTTTTGGAGGAGAAAGAGATTTACATTCTTTATCTGGCTCAACTTCAAATTCCATCTCTGGCTCCAATTCTTTGCTAGTTTCATTTTCTGAAGGTTCTATACTTTCAACTTGATTAGTTTCCACCACTTCCTGCTCAGCAATTACATTCTGGACACTCTCAACCATCTCTAGCACATCCATAACTTCCTCAGGCTGACTATCCTGTTGTTTCTCACTTTCCCTTGTCTCTGTTTCCTCCTCCATCTTAACCTCCATTTCCTGTTTTTGCTCCTCCTCCTCCTGTTCTTTCTCTGCATCACTATGCCCTATACCTACTTCCTTTTCTTCCTCTTCTCCTGCCTCCTCTATTTCTACATCATTGTGCTGATTACCTGTCTCCTCCAACTCTTCCTCTCGCTGAGCCACCTTACCCTCTTCTTGTTCCGCCTTCTGTTCTTCATTACGCACCACCTGATGCTCTTTTTCCTTCATTGTCTGTCTTCTAGGCCTAGCCTCCATCTTATTTATTTGTTCTGCAAATTCGAGGCGTCTACCTTCAAATAAAGCTAAACAATAAAAATTATGTGTAAAACTTAGTTTTATACCAGTCATAAATGGTCATTAAGCTTCATACAAATCTTTTTGAATAAAGAAAATATTGATTATAGCAAGTAAGTAATTACAAACTGACAGCAAAGATCCAAGGGAAATCTATATATCAAAAAATTAGTAACAAGAAAATCTAGACCACATCCAACTAAAACCAAACATTTGCTACTTAAAAAACTTCTTTAGGATGGGCACTGGTAGCTCACACCTGTAATCCTAGCTACTCAGGAGGTTGAAATCTAAGGATCACGGTTCAAAGGCAGCTTAGGTAGCAAAGTCTGTGAGACTTTATCTCCAACTGATCACAAGAAATGGAAGTGGTGCTGTGGCTTAAAGTGGGGCAGGGGGGGCGAGGCTGCCAGCCTTGAGCAAAAGAAGTCAGAGTGCCCAAGCCCTGAGTTCTAGTCCCATGACCCGATAAAAACAAAACAACGAAGCAGAACCAGTTTTAGATGACTCTAAATACATCATCTAGCCACCATCTTAGCAGTGTATATCCCTCTAAATATTCACCTTTTATGAACTATAACAATGTTCATTTTTGTCTTACTTCACTGAGAGCAGTTTATGTGCCAACGAAGACTACTATGCAAAATTATCTTATATAAATACATATGCTTAAGAATCACCAACAAAACAAGATTCAGTTTAAACTCCACCATAAAGCTATATCTATACTCCAACCTATTACCTCAAAATATCTTAAGAGGGGCTGGAAAGGTGGCTCAGTGGTAGAGCGCTTGCCTTGCATGCACGAGGCCCTGGGTTCAATTCCTCAGCACCACATAAAAAGAAAAAAAGCCGGAAGTGGCGCTGTGGCTCAAGTGGTAGAGTGCTAGCCTTGAGCTGAAGAGCTGAGGAACAGCGCCCAGACCCAGAGTTCAGGCCCATGACCGGACCCAAAAAAAAAAAAAATCTTAAGAAACACCCACCCAAAATGAACTATTAAATCACATTATTTTAGAAAACAATAATGTGAAAGTGTACTATCTTATCCATTAAGATAACTTCAATAGGGGCTGGAAGGTGGCTCAGTGGTAGAGGGCTTGCCTTGCATGCCTGAGGCCCTTCCTCAGCACCACATAAGCAAAAAGAAAAAAAAGCCAGAAGTGGCGCTGTGACTCAAGTGGTAGAGTGCTAGCTTTGAGCTGAAGAACTGAGGAACAGCACCCAGGCCCAGAGTTCAGGCCCCACGACCGGACCCAAAAAAAAGAAAACTTCAATAGACTTCATGCACTTACCATTCATTTTTCTCTGTGATTCTTCTATTAGTTTTTGGGTAGCTGGACACATTCTTCCAGGAATATAGAACAAATGGGGCTTTGTCTTAGTTCTTATATATTTAATTATCTTGGCATTATGTTCATTCCATTCTTCTTGCTAAAGAAAAGGTAAAAGTTCAGTGCTTTTATAACACCATGGATTACCAATCTTAGCATTCATAAACAATACTTACCAGCTGCGCAAGCTCAACCTTCTGTTCCAAAAGCCGCAGTTCTGTCTGTTTAGCACGTCTCTCTTCAAATAGTTCTCTCCTTTCATTTTCAACTTGCTTTCTCTCTTCTTCTGCCTGAACTTCAAGTTTTTGTTCAATTTCCTGGCGTCTCTTTTGCTAAAAATAAATGATCAGCTTTGCTTTATTATAATAGGAAAAAGATATCTGGTTTCAGTCTAGTTATAATCTAAAACATATCCTGATTATGTGAAAACATTATAGTTTTACTATATAAAGTTGTATGTATATTTCACACTTTCAATTCAGAATATCTAATAATTTCAACTTAGCATTTGAGACTGGTTGCACAGTATCTTTCATAAAATAGAGACCATCAGTCCTATCAAGGCCATCAGTCCTAGAGTAACTTCTCTTCTGCTGTAAAGTTTAAGGACATTTTCCACAAAAGTAAATCTAAAAAAGTGTTCTTTTTGAGTTTGTTTTCAGTTAATCTTTCCAAACAAGAGAATGTGACAGAAGTCCTAACCTATGAACTAACCAGTTGTACTTTCCTCTAATTCCAAGATAAATTTGGGAGTTTTTCAGTACCAGTCCTGGGCCTTGAACTCAGGGCTTTGGCACTGTCTCTGAGTTCTTTTGCTCAAGACTAGTGTTTTACTACAGCTCCATTTCCAGCTTTTTTTGGTAGTTAATTGGAGATATGTCTGTCTTTTCTACTCGAACTGACTTCAACCTAAAATCCTCAGATCTCAGCCTCCAGAACAGGTAGGATTACAAGCATGAGGCACCACGCCTGGCAAGATATAAGTTTTTTGTTGCTGTTTTGTTTTTTGAAGCAGGATCTTTCATGGTAGCCTAGCTAACACTAAACTCCCAATCCTATAGCCTCAACTTGCCTGAGTGATGAGATTAGATATGCATACCTCCTGACTGCTTTTAGGATATTATTTATAATCTCAAAGTTAATACGTAAAAGGTAAAATAAGGATGAAAAAATGCAGCAGTTGAATTCACTGAATCTATGTTGAAAATGAACTATATAGCTTGTGGGTGGAAACAGGAGGGAGGGAAGAGGTGACACTGTCCAAAAAGAAATATACTTTTTTCTACTGGTTAATTGGAGATTGAGAGTCTCATGGACTTTCCTGCCTGGGTTGGCTTTTTTCTTTTCTTTTTTTTTTTTTTTGGTCCGGTCGTGGGGCCTGAACTCTGGGCCTGGACGCTATCTCTCAGCTCTTCAGCTCAAGGCTAGCGCTCTACCACTTGAGCCACAGCGCCACTTCCGGCTTTTTTCTTTCTGCTTATGTGGTGCTGAGGAATCGAACCCAGGGCCTCAAGCATGCAAGGCAAGCGCTCTACCACTGAGCCACCTTCCCAGCCCCTGCCTGGGTTGGCTTTAAACCGTGAGCCTCAGATCTCAGCCTCCTGAGTAGCTAGGATTATAGGTATGAGCCACCAGTGCCTGGCTAAGAAATATACTCTTTATCTGTATACTCTTTACGGTTATGTAACCGTAACTCTCTGTACATCACCTTTATAATAATCTATTTGTTTTCCATTACTGAATTGTTGCTTCCCCTCTTACTACTTCTCCAGAAATAGTATGTAGAGTTCAACTCTATACATTTTAAGCTATAACAATCAAAGGAAAAAATGTACAAAATGATGACAAATTAACTGTGGAAGCTACAGAATGTTCCTACTTTTGCTTCTAGATCAAGTAAATGTGTGTAAATTAAGACTGAACAGTAAAATAGTTGCAAAACTGAATTACCCCCTATATGAAAGAAAGCAATGAGACCTAAATAAATGGCTTTGTCTAAGGCCAAATAATGACATAAAGACCTTAGACCAGACCCAGATTTAACAGACCAGAAATCACTTAATAAGTAAAAACAAAAGGGTCAGTTGGAAATAATTCCTACCTCAGCATTTGGTGACTCATGCCTGTAACCCTAGTTACTCAGGAGGCTAAGATCTGAGGATCATGGTTCAAAGCCAGCCCAGGTAGAAAAGTCCATGAGACTCTTAATCTCCAATTAAATACCAAAAAGCAAGATATGGAGCTGCTGCTCAAATGGTAGAGCACTAGCCTTGAGTGCTAAAAGGTCCAGGGCTGGGGATGCAGCTCAGTGGCAGAGTGTTTGCCTAGCATGCACGAAGCCATGAGTTCGATTCCTTAGTACCACAGAGGGGTACTGTGGCTCAAGTGGTAGAGTGCTGGCCTTGAGCAAAAGAAGCTTAGGGACAGTGCCCAGGCCCTGAGTTCAAGCCCCAGGACCATAAAAAAAAAAGTTCCAGGGTAGTCCCCCAGGCTGAGTTCAAGCCCCAGGACTGTGGAAAAAAACAAACAAAAAAACTCCCCACTCTTTCCGAAATTTTGGGACTGGCTTTAATTTAGGCCTTCATTAAATCTTTGAAGAATTATCTTTTAGGTTTTAAGATAGGGTCTCACTTTTTTACCTTTTAGTAACTTGGTGTGGTACTGTCTACTTATAATCACATTATACTGAGTAAAAGGATCAGAGTTCAAGGTCAAGTTGTACTACATAGTGAGACCCTGTCTCAAGTTTTCTTAAAAAATTAGCCACCGGAAGTGGTGTTTGTGGCTCAAGTGGTAGAGCGCTAGCCTTGAGCTGAAGAGCTGAGGGACAGCGCCCAGGCTCAGAGTTCAAGCCCCACGACTGACAGTGGGGGGGAGGGGGGAGAGGGAGGAGAAACTCTTAGTAAATGGCCAATTTTAGGGCTGGGAAGGTGGCTCAGTGGTAGAGTGCTTGCCTTGCATGCCTGAGGCCCTGGGTTCGATTCCTCAGCACCACATAAGGAAAAAGAAAAAAACCGGAAGTGGCTGTGGCTCAAGTGGTAGAGTGCTAGCCTTGAGCTGAAGAGCTGAGGGACAGCGCCCAGGCCCAGAGTTCAAGCCCCATGACCAGACCCAAAAAAACAAACAAAAAAATTAGCCACCTAGGCTGATAGTTTAAAGCAAAACAAAAAAAAAAAAAAAAAAAATGCCTTATTACCCTTTCAGTAGCAACAGTAGATTCTTGTTTAAATTTCTGAAGAGTACCCATCAACAAGCCAAATATTCGTCGATTCCTAAAAGACACAACAAACAAAACTCAGTTTCACTAGAGTCTACTTAATTAAAACTGCTATTTCCCAAGATACATTTTCAGGCATTTGAGCAACCCTGTATTTTTACCATACACATCATTACTTGACAGTTTTTTTTTTTTCTATTGGATGTGTTCTACAGATACCTCTGCTTTCCCTTTTCATCCATATTTTGATCCTGGATAAGGTCTCTGCGTGTGCGTTCTTTGGAGGTAGCTACAACTGAAGACTGCAGTGCCGGCTGCAAGACAAAAAGACAATCTCAATGACTGAAGTAGCTTATGGGTAACATACTTAAAATGTAGTAGGTACTTTATTCATACCTTCTTAACATCATCATCCTCTGGGTCACTCTCTTGGCGCGATTCTCTTCTTGTCCGACGCTCCCCGCCCAGCCTGTCAAAAGGAAAAATAATTTATACCATGGAGAATCTGAGTTAAGTGCACACAAAAGGCAAATGTCCATGAATTCTAGTACTCATCTCCAGAAGCCTCATTCTTTCAGCCTCCTCACTATTTTTCTTTTTCCTATGGCAGTGAAAGGATAAAATACAGTAACAAATGCTCAACTCAAATTTGGCTCATCAAACATCTAAATATTTGTTCTCTAAGTACAAAATAGAGTAAATGGAGATGGGCACTGGTGGCTCACACCTGTAATCCTAGCTACTTAGGAGGCTGAGATCTGAGGATCAAGATTCAAAGCCAGCCTAGGTAGAAAAATCTGTGAGACTCTTGTCTACAATAAACCACCGGAACACTGCAAGTGGTGCTGTGGCTCAAGTGGTAGAGCACTCACTTTGAGCTGAAGAGCTGAGGAAGTTTAGGGACAGTATGCCCAGGCCCTGAGTTCAAGCCCCAGGACCGACAGAAAAAAAAAAAGGTTTAAAAATGTCAGTTCGGGGCTGGGAAGATAGCTCAGGGGTAGAGTGCTTGCATTGCATGCCTGAGGCCCTGGGTTCGATTCCTCAGCACCACATAAGCAAAAAGAAAAAAGCCGGAAGTGGCGCTGTGACTCAAGTGGTAGAGCCCTAGCCTTGAGCTGAAGAGCTGAGGACAGCGCCCAGGCCCAGAGTTCAGGCCCCATGACCGGACCAAAAAAAATAAATAAATAAAAACAAGTCAGTTCTTCACATCTTAATTCTTCACCACTTTCGGTTTTCTAGGGTTTATTGGATAAGAACCTCATGGACTTTCCTGCTGGGCTAGCTTTGAACCTTGATCCTCAGATCCCAGCCTCCTCAATAGCTAGGATTAAAGGTGTAAGCCACCAGTGCCTGGCTTCCCATCTTGATTCTTTTATGATCCTTACTTTCATACCAATTTAGGTTATTGAATAAAACACTAAATTTTGAAGGATACTGGCTGTCTTACCTTAATCTTGTATCAAGGGACCTCAGGATTAAGTGGCATACCACTAAATTCCAATACAACCCAACTCAACAATACTTTTGTACTGTCTTTTCTCTTTTTGTGGTGGTCATGGGGCCTAGGCAGTCTTTCAGCTTTTGTGCTCAAGGCTCTACTACTTTGAGCCACAGTGTCACTTCTGGTTTTCTAGTAGTTAACTGGAGCCTCACGAACTTTCATTCTTGGGCTAGCTTTGAACTGTGATCTTTAGATCATAAACTTCTGAGTAGGTGGCAAGAGCCACCAGTGGCTGGCAGGATCCCTTCTCTTATGTGTCTGCTGGTACTTAGCCTTTATTTTATTTTGTTGTAAAGGTGCCGTACAGAAGGGTTAGTTATATAAGGTAATGATACATTTCATGTCAAACATTGTTATCCACTCCTTCATTTTTCTTCCACTATCCCTCTCCCTTTCCCCTTTCTTCCCCCGCCCCCAATCCCAAAGTTGTAAAGTTCATTTCGACATAGTGTCTTGTCAGTATTGGTACTTGGTCTTGAACTTGGTGTCTAGGTGCTCTCATTTGGTTTTTTCACTCAAGGCTAGCTCTCTATCACTTGAGCCACAGCTCCACTTCTACTTTTTGGTGGTTAATTGGAGGTAAGAATCTCATGAACTCTCCTGCCTGGACTGGCTTTGAACCATGATCCCCAGATCATAAGTCTCCTGTGTAGCCAAGATTACAGACATGAGCCACTGGCACTTGGCTTAATATTCTTTTTTGGCCAGTCCTAGGGCTTGAACTCAGGGCCTGGGCATACTGTCCCTAAACTTCTTTTGCTCAAGGTTAGCACTCTACCACTTAAGCTGCAGTGTGACTTCTGGCTACTTCTGTTAGTGTGGTACTGAGGAATCGAACCCAGGGATTCATGCATGCTAGGCAAGCACTCTACCACTAAGCCACATTCCCAGACAGGTATTCTTTTTTAAACATACCTACTGACTGCCCCTTCAAGGTCTCTCTGTTTGGCTGGGGGTCCTCCTCCACTATCTGAGAATCCACGCCTACAATTAAAAATGTACAATAAATTGTAAATATAAGCTACATTTGTAACAAGATAATAAAGTTGCTTTTTAAAAAAATGTTCCAACTGAAGTAACCTTAAATGGACAATTCAGCACTTTGGGAGGGGTTGGGGTTTTTTTGTGTGGTGCTAGAGATTCAAGCCTTATACATGCTAGGCAAACTCTACTGCTGAACTACATGCTCATCCTCCAGAAAGCATGTGTAGTAGTTTTAATTTTTATTACAAAGACGATGTATGGAGGGGCTACAGTTACATAAGTCAGGTAAAAAGTACATTTCTTTTTGGCTTTCCTTGCTCTTGCTCTATTCCAATGTGCAGTATTCTTAAGAATACAATTAAGGTTGCTAAACACTAGTACAGTTAATACTCCTCTAGCTTTCTACTTCTAAAAAAAAATTAGCAGATGACAGTATTAAACGAAGTGATACAGTTCTTATGGTGAATTTTATTTAAATCAACGCACGAATTTAATACACGTGTTAGGGGATCTTACCTCAGCAATAAACTACCACGTCCTCTACCTCCACCAGGACCAGAAAGGGCCAGCAATCGGGCTTGGATGGGTCTATAAAAGATTCACAATCATTTAAAAAATGATGTGCACAAACACCTAAGGGTGTCGTACGATATTTTCAGCTTACTATTCTTTGCGGGGAGGGGGGGGGGCAGGAAGTGTGAAGAAGACCAGTTCCAAAATGACGGTTTCAAATCCACGTGTTTCAAAGAGAGGGCAGAAGTACTCAAAAAATCATCACATTTACCCCCAAGGGCACTACGCATTAGCACATCCACCCACCGCGAGGAAGCGGCCCTCTGGCTCGGCAGAGCCCGGGGAAAAGGTGGCCGGCAATCACCCGGGAGGGTTCCCGGGTCAGCCCAGTGGGAAGAGGCTTTGTGCTGCAGCCCCAGGCCTGCAGCGCCCAGGGCGGGAAGCGCGATCCGCGCCGGCCGGCGCCGCCAGGCACCGCTCTGCATCCTCGGGCCCTTTGCCCTGCGGTGGACGGCGGGGCTGAGGGGCCCTTTCGGCTTACTGCGTGTCGCAGAAGCCCGCAAGGCCTACTGCGGGGTCGGCGAATCTGCTCGGCCCACCGCGGGGTCCGAGAATCGGCCTACCGCGGGGCCTGGGAGCCGCCTCGGCCTCCGGCAGGGCCCGGACGCTGACTCCGCTGACGGCGAAGCCCGGGAGCCGGGCTGCGACGGGGCCCCGAGGCCGCTGCAGCCCCCCCCCCCTCCGAGGCCCGCGTTTACCGCCGCCCGGGGAACCGGCCTACACGTTTCTTCCACTCTTCCTCAGGGCCGACTGTTCGTCCTCCCCAGTCCCAGTTCACCCTGACCGGAGGGCTGCCTTTTCCATGCCGCGGTTCCCGATCTACCCTACCTCACGTCATTCGGATCTCGCCCGGTGAGCTTGCGGATGTTCTCATCTACGTTCTTTAGGCTTTCTTTGGCCTTTTCTAGCTGTTCCTGCAAAGTTCTCACTGCGACCGCCATCTTCTCCTGCAGCAGCCTCCGACACCGTTCTACAGGCCGCGCCACCGGCGCCGCGACGCAAGACGCAGAAAGACCGACAGCTGGGTGAACCACTAAGCACGGGAGTTGTCCTTCGGCCTCAGCCACTCAACGAACGGAAGATGGAGACATTTCCAGCCTTTGGGATTCTGGGCCAATGAGAAGTCGAAGAGGCGGGTAGCTCCCGCCCCAAACTAGCCGCGGGTGGCTGGGCTCCGCTACTAGCGCAGAGCCGGGGCGGTGGCTTGATAGATGCTGCTCTTCCGAGATGGCAGTTCTGGGGCTGGCTTTTTGAGATTGGTTCTTTTATTAACGGCTTCGCCTTGTTTTAGTTGATCGGGTCACACAAAACTGGAAGGGAGCAAAACTAGTCCCTTTTATCTCAGTGATTTAATTAGGAAAGGGCGCGGCCATTATGGTGTGGCGCATGCGCGGAAAGGGGCGGGGGGGGGCACGCCTCCCTAGATTAGAGTGAGCACGCGGAATCAAAGGACGAGCTGGGGCCGGGTGCAGGTGGCTCCAGGCTGTAATCCTAGCTGATTCACTGGCCGAGATCTGAGGCTCACGGCTGTAAGCCAGCCTGGGCAGAAAAAACCGTGAGATTCCTATCTCCAGTTAACCACCGGAAAGCCCAAGTGCAGCTGTGGCTCAAGGGGTAGAGAACTAGCCTTGAGCTAAAAAGGTCAGGGACGGCTCCCAGGATCTGAGTTAGTGTCTCTGTCTTGTGTCTCTGTCTGTCTCTCTGTCTCGGTCTCTGTCTCTCTCCCCTCCCTCCCTCTCTTTCTCTCACGCTCCTCTTGTTCCCCACCTCTCACAAAAGCTTAGATGCGATGCTTACTATTAATGAGAAGACATACCTGCTATACCTGCCCTTACATCTTAGAAGCCAGATACATACTCACCATCAGACCAGATGCCTGAGACTTGTACTACAAAATGAAATTCACTTGGCAGGTGTGATTGACTTAGCTACTAGAGCCAGAGCTGATAGGTTTAATGAGTGCTCTGAGGGGATCAACTATGTGTGTGTTATGTGAGTGTCTTGCACCTCTGGGTCTGCTTAGTTTGTACTACCAAGTAGAATATATACATAGAAGTATATTAGTTCCAGAGTATGTACACATTGTAGCTCAGAAAACACTTTATCTCTGCTGAGGATACAGTTATGCAGTAGAGTACCATGCTTAAAGTACTTGGTTCAATCCCCAGCACAAAGAAAACGTTAACATTTCCCAAAGCAACAATGTTATTAATATATGTATCATCTCTGGCTGGGGATGTAGCTTGAGAACCTGGATGCCATCTCTAGCACTACAGAAAATAAATACACACACACACACACACACACACACACACACACACACACACACACACACAACTGCTGGACAAAACCGGGCACCAGTGTCTCACACCTGTAATCCTAGCTATCAGGAGGCTGAGATCTGAGGATCACAGTTCAAAGCCAGCCTGGGCAGGAACAGTCCCTGAGATTTTTTTTTTTTGGTAGGTCGTGGGGCTTGAACTCTGGGATTGGGCGCTGTCCCTGCGCTCTTCAGCTCAAGGTGAGCACTCTACCACTTGAGCCAAAGCGCCACTTTCAGTTTTCTAGTGGTTTATTGGAGATAAGAGTCTCACGGACTTTCCTGCAAGTAACATAGCAAGTTACTTCAAAGTGATAGGGAAAAAACAGGGAAGGGGCAGGACTGGATAAAGGTATGAGGTTGCACAATTATTAAATTCTAATTGTAAGCATAATTTATTGACTATTTTCCTTTCTGTCATTTATCATCTATCTACCTTTTAGCAAATTTAAAATTGTTATTATTAGCCAGACACTGGTGGCTCACACCTGTAATCCTAGCTACTCAGGAGGCTGAGATCTGTGGATCTCGGTTCAAAGCCAACCCAGGCAGGAAACTCTGAGACTCTTATCTCCAATAAACCACTAGAAAACCGGAAGTGGTACTGTGGCTCAAGCAGCAAGCTTTGAGCTGAAGAGTGCAGGGACAGTGTCCAAGCCCAGAGTTCAAGCCCTACGACCAACAAAAATAAATAAATAAATAAATAAATAAATTGTTATTATAAAGGTGATATGGGGTGGGGGGTTTATAGTTCCGTAAGTCAGGTAAAGAGTACGTCTTCTTTCCTGCCTTCTTTCCTTCCTTCTTTCCTCCCTCCCTCTCTCCCTCCCTCCCCCCTCTCTCTTTCTTTCCTCACTTCCTCCCTCCCTCCCTCCTTCTCTCTCTTTCTTTCTTTTCTTTCTCTCTTTCTTTCTCTTTCTTTCTTTCTTTCTGTCATGGGCCTGGGCACTGTCCTTGAGCTTTTTGGCTCAAGGCTAGCACTCTACCACTTGAGCCACAGTGCCAGTTTCAGTTTTCTGGTGGCTAATTGGAGAAAAGAATCTCATGGACTTCCCTGCCTGGGCTGGCATTGAATCGCTGATCCTCAGATCTCAGCCTCCTGAGTAGCTAGGATTACAAATGTGAGCCACCGGCATCCCGCTACATTTCTTCTTGAACCATGTCACCTTTTCTTTCCTACCTTTTCAAAACAGGGTATCTTAATGTAGCCCAGGATAGCCTCCAATTTGGGATCTTCCTGCCTCAGCTTCCTACTGAATCCTTCTGCTGGGATTGCCTGTACTGGCTCCCTCTCTCTCTCTCTATATATAACATCAGTATACAAGACTCAGGCAGTACCTGAAGTTTCTAAATGTGGAACAGATCTTAACAACTAAAGATAACATTTTTTTTCCATTGGAAAATACTTTTGGACTTATCAAAAAACGAGGTCTAGGGGTGGGGAAGGTGGCTCAGTGGTAGAGTGCTTGCCTCGTATGCATGAGGCCCTGGGTTCAATTCCTCAACAACACATAAGCAGAAAAAGCCAGAAGTGGCACTGTGGCTCAAGTGGTAGCTAACTTTGAGCTGAAGAGCTGAGGGACAGCTCCCAGGCTCAGAGTTCAGGCCCCATGACTGACAAAGAAAGAAAGAAAGAAAGAAAGAAAGAAAGAAAGAAAGAAAGAAAGAAAGAAAGAAAGAAAGAAAGAAAGAAAGAAAGAAAGGAGGAAGGAAGGGAGGAAGGATAGACTTTTTTTTGTTGTTTTTTGGGATTTTTTTTTTTTTTTTTTTGGGTCCGTTGTGGGGCTTGAACTCTAGGCCTAGGCACTGTCTCTGAGCTCTTCAGCTCACGGCTAGTGCTCTACCACTTGAGCCACAACTCCGCTTACACCACTACTGCTTATATGGTGCTAAGGAATCAAACCCAGGGCCTCATGCATGCGCGAGGCAAGCACTCTACCACTGAACCACCTTCCCAGGCCTCCCACTTTCATAGGATCTAGTCCTAGAATCCTGACTAATTTAGCAGTTTGTTTTATGGAGGTGGATCAGTGAGGTGCTATGTTCAGCATTTAGTAGGTATCCAGGTAGTCTTAATTTCCTTTTTGTTCTTCAAAAGCTTCTTGGCATTGGGGAGTTAGCTCAGTGGAGGTGATGTCTAGCAAGTACAAAACCTGAGTTCAGACCTCAGCTCCAAAGGAGGGGGAAAAGTTTTCTTTTTTTTTTTTTTGGGGGGGGGGTCCAGTAGTAGGGCCTGAACTCTGGACCTGGGCGCTGTCCCTTAGCTCTTCAGCTCAAGGCTAGCGCTCTACCACTTGAGCCACAGCACCACTTCCGGCTTTTTTCTTTTTGCTTATGTGGTGCTGAGGAATCGAACCCAGGGCCTCATGCATGCAAGGCAAGCGTTCTACCACTGAGCCACCTTCCCAGCCCCATAAAGTCTGATGTATTTAAAGTGTAATATTGTCCTTGCACCTGTGGCTCAAGTCTGTAATCCTAGCTACTCGAGAGGCTGAGATCTGAGGATCTTAGTTTGAAGCCAGCCTAGTCAAGAATGTCTGTGAGACTCTAATTTCCAATTAAACACACACACACACACACACACACACACACACACACACACACACATAATAATAAAATAAGCCAAAGATGGGGAGCTGTGACTCAAGTGGTAGAGCACTAGCTTTGAAGAAAAGAGGTTCAGAGCCAGTGCCCAGGCTCTGAGTTCAAGCTCCAAGATAGCCATACACACACACACACACACACACACACACACACACACACATTAGAGTTGGGTATTTTTTTGGGGGGGTGGGGGGGTCCAGTCGTGGGCCTGAACTCTGGGCCTGGGTGCTGTCCCTCAGCTCTTCAGCTCAAGGCTAGCACTCTACCACTTGAGCCACAGCGCCACTTTCGGCTTTTTTCTTATGTGGTGCTGAGGAATCGAACCCAGGGCCTTGAGCATGCAAGGCAAGTGCTCTACCACTGAGCCACCTTCCCAGCCCAAGTTTATATTTTCTTGTCAAAGTATTTTATTTTATTGCTTACTCTGTTCTCCTTTGTTCTTTGTTCCAACTACCAGTAAACTTCTAAATGGCTCTCAGTCTTTTTGCACCCCTGGTCTTAATAGCTTGGATGCACTACAATACATAAATGGATTAAAAAAATGTAGTATGTGTATATATATTAGCATTTTACACAGACATTAGAAAGAATAATATCATGTCTTTTGCAGGGAAATGGATGGATCTAGAATAAATTGAGAAAAATGGCCCACAGTTTTTCTGATATGTGGAAGCTAGATCTAAAATACACTGAGACATGACAAATTACACAGGACTCTAGACATTAACACACAGTGAGACCAAAGGAGGATAGTCTCAGTAGAAGAACACAAAGGCACAATGCCTGATCATATAAAATAATATTTAAAAAAAATTAACTCCAGGAAATGGAAACGAGGTTTTTTTACTTTGTTGTTGCTTTTTTTTTTCTTTTCTTTTTGTCATGTTTGTTCATTTATCTGTTTTGGGGAGTGTAAGGAGTATCACAGATACAGAGGGACAAAGGGTGAACAAATGCAGCAGTGGTAGTCACTAGGCACTATATTGAAAATGAACTGTACAACTTATGGGTGGGGATGGGATCCAAAAAGAAATGTATTCTACCTGACTTATGTAAGTGTAACTCCTGTTACCACCTTTATAAGAACAATAAAAAAAAAGAATCTGTTAGCATTAGGCCTACCTTTAGTCCTCAGCTCCACCCATACCTGAGCTCCTCCCCATCCTGGAATTCCAGCCCTACAGCTGGCCACTCCCTCTCTCTGCCCAGAGCCAAGAGAGTACCCACCTACCTCATTTCTGGCCCCCCCCCCACCTGGAAAGGGACAGGGCCATGTGCTCCCTCTTCTGGGAGATATGGCCCCTCTAATAAACCTTATAATAATCTTTCCGCTTGCTTCAGGCTGATCCCCTGGGATGGACGTGAATCTAATATGGGTTGGTATGCTATCTCAACATACCTGAGGGCTGGGAAGGTGGCTCAGTGGTAGAGTGCTTTGCCTTGCATGCCTGAGGCCCTGGGTTTGATTCCTCAGCACCACATAAGCAGAAAAAGCACTGTGGCTCAAGTGGTGGAGCACTAGCCTTGAGCTGAAGAGCTGAGGGACAGCGCCCAGGCCCAGAGTTCAAGCCCCACGACCGACCAAAAAAAAAATTTTGAAGTTTTCCCTCATAAATATTTCAGTGCTGGCGTGGTTGTGCACACGCGGATTCCCAACGCTTGAGAGGCCCAGGCAGGAGGAGACTCGGTTCTCGGCCAGAATGTCTCTTCACAACTTTTAATATGAAAGAACCTATGGCGGGAAACACGACTTGAAACCCGGGAGCATCCGGGCCAGCTTTGCTCCCTTTTCTGTTTGACTTGTGGGCACTGAGGCTTGACCCGAAGGCCCAGCATTCGCGCTAAGCAAGCCTTCCACCTCTGGAGCTGTACCGCCCAGGATTCAGCTTTTCCAACTGGTCTACCTAAGGAGCAAAGGAAAGTCAGACGAGACACGTCTAGATTTACCATCTCCCCTGGATCCTGTCAGCTCCACTCTATCCTGCGCAAGGAGCTCTTCCTCCCGAAGGGAGAGCCAGGCGGGGGCGAGTCAGGGAGGGCAGGGCAGGCGGGCTGGGAGAGCGACCCCCACCACCATAGAGTTGGAGGAATGCCGGGGTAGAGGGGACCGGAAGTGGCCACACGCCGCTCGTCCCCGCCCCCCCTTTCCCGCTCCCCGCTTTACTCCGCCCCGGGGCCGGATCCGGAGTCTCGGTTCTCAGTGCGGCTGTCAGACGTCTTTCGACCCTTGGGCGCGGTGGCCCTGGGGACCGGTGGCCCTCGGGGCCGGCTCTCCCTGAGCACAGGCCTGGGGGAAGCCCGGGAGCTTTCTTTGGTGTCCTAGCAACCGGGAGCCGGGCGGCGGGCCGGGCCGCTCGAGCGCCGGCCCAAACGGGAGCCGGAACCCAAAGCTCGGAAGCATCGGGAAGACATGGCGGACGAGGCGTTGTTTTTGCTGCTCCACAACGAGATGGTGTCGGGAGTGTACAAGTCCGCTGAGCACGGGGAGGTGGTGAGTTGGCCACGGCGACTCGTTCTCGGACGTTCCCCGGTCCGAGCGCCGCCGGATGCCGCCGGCCTGGTGGACGGAGCCTGTCCGCACCGCCGGGCGAGCCGGCTCCCTCCCTCCCTCCCTCCGTCTCCCTCTTTTTTGTCGGTCGTGGGGCCTGAACTCTGGGCCTGGGCACTGTCCCTCAGCTCTTCAGTTCAAGGCTAGCGCTCTACCACTCGAGCCACAGCGCCACTTCCAGCTTTTTCTGCTCATGTGGTGCTGAGGACTCGAACCCAGGGCCTCAGGCATGCAAGGCAAGCACCACTGAGCCACCTTCCCAGCCCTACTTTTCATTTTTTTTTTTTCACTAAGAAACAATTAGGTTAAAGTTTCACAGTCTTTCAGAAAAGTGAAGTAAACTTTCATAAATCTTGAGGTGACACTAAATGTCTATGTAAATGATTTCAAACTATATTGAATGATTTGGCACCATGGGAAATGAATCTCAGAAGGTTCATGGAGGTATGGCCCAAGCCATGGAAGCACTGGTCTTGAGCAAAAAAAGCTAAGGGACCATCTACCAGGCCCTGAGTGTAAGTCCCAGTATTGGCATTTAAAGAGGAAAAAAAGGTTCATGGATAAAATATTTCTAAATTGATTTTTTTTTTAATTGGTGTGTCTGGTGAAGCACTGAAAAATGCCAAAGTGAATGAACAAGGAACAGAATCTTTTGTGTTAATGAATATATTCCTGAGTAATTTCACAAAAAGCAGATTGTCCCTTGAAGAGCATCATAACTGACAAGTAGAATTACTTTTTTTTTTTTTTTTTAAACGTGCTGATCTTGGGGCTTGGGCACTATTCCTGAGCTTCTTTTGCTCAAGGCTAGCACTCTACCACTTGAGCCACAGCTCCACAGGCTACTTCCAGCCTTTTCTGTGGTACTGAGGAATCCAACCCAGGGCTTCATGCATGCTAGGCAAGCACTCTACAACTAAGCCATATTCACAGCCCCCTGAGCCTTTTTTTTTTTTTTTTTGCTCAATTTTAGCACCCTGCCCTTTAGCCACATTGTTCCACTTCCATCTTTTTGGTGTTTACTTGGATATGAGTCTCATCGGCTTATCTGGCTTCAAACTTCGATTCTCAACTCTCAGCCCCCTGAATAGCTAGGATTACAAGCATGAGCCAACAGTGCTTGGCCAGAAGCACTTTTTTTGTTGTTGTGCCAGTCCTAGGGTTTGAATTGAGGGCCCAGGTACCTTCTCTGAGCTTCTTTTGCCCAGGGATAGTACTCTACTACTTGAGCCACAAGCTCTACTTAAGGCTTAAAAAATTTTTTTTCTGGTTGGTCGTGGGTCTTGAACTCTGGGCCTGGGCACTGTCCCTGAACTACAGGGTCACTTCTGGTTTTCTGGTAATTAGTGGAGATAGAGTCTCATGGACATTCCTGTCTGAGCTGGCTTTGAACCGTAATCTTCAAATCTCAGCCTCCTGAGTAGCTAGTATTACAGGTGTGAGCCATTCACCAGTGCTGGGCCTAGGATCACTTTTATTTTATATCCATTTACTTTTTACAGTGTTAGGGGATCAAACTCAGGCCTCACAAGATTTCTACCATTGAGCTCCAGATCCAGCTTCAGAATTGGGTTTAGAAGGCTTGTTAAAACACAGAAAACAACCCCCACATCAAATTTATTTTAGCTCAACGATTTGAAAGTAGGAAAGAATTTGGGTTTTCAGCAGGTTACTGAATGATGCTTATGTTGCTGGTTGAGGAACACATATTGACTGGTACTAAGATGGAAAGTTGCTGAAAGGGGATGATGTTGCAGCTTTAAAGAAGATGGTTAAGATGGACTGCATTGAGATGTCCTAATGAGAGCAAAGACGGGAAGGAAATGATGGAGCTCATCATGTGATTATCTGGAAGAATAATAACCTTTTGACAAAAACTGTAAAGGTTGTTTAAGAGATAGTAAGGAGACTGTGTTAGTGTGAGGAAGACTAGAAGCTTAAAGTCAAGGGTCTTTGGGGTGTGCTTTGTGGGTCTATGATACTTTTTGAAGTATGTGTAGAGATGATACCTAAGATTAGATGGGATTATCAAAGGAAGACCAAAACAATTCCATGTCTCAAGGAATATAATGGTCATCAACTAAGACACACCAAGAACTATGACACTTGATGATGTTGAGACATCACACACAAAATTATGGATGAAAAAAAAGTTAAAGATATATAATGAAGTAGAGAAGAAAAATGGAGATTTCTAGCAAGTAGCATTGGTATTTATGGAAAATAAATATGTGAAAGTTCCTGGGGTGAGGCACTGGTGGCTCAGACCTGTATTCAGACCTGTATTCCAAGCTACTCAGGAGTCTGAGGCTTGTGATACAAAGCCAGATGGGCAGAAAAACCCAGGAGATTTTTTTTTTTTTGCCCATGAGATTCTTATCTATAATTAACCAGCAAAAAATTGAAGTAGAGCTATGGCTCAAGTGGAAGAGTGCCAGTCTTGAGCAAAACCAGTAAAAGAAAGCAAGAATATGAGTCTCTGAGTTCAAGGCCAAGTAATAGCACATACACACAAAACAAAACCACTTTTTTATTAGTCTGTTTTTTTTCATGCTAATAACAGCACCATTGACAGTGTACGTTATTATAAAAGGTTTATTTTAATTCCTGGTTTGAGTCCAAGGTCAAGAGTTCCAGGTAGCACAGGGTTTCACATGAGAGACAGGAATGTTTGTGTTCTCCATGGTACCAGGTTCCTAGAAGCCACAAGTATTCAATCACAAGAGCTCCACCCTGACAGCTATAGTATTAATTGCCAAAGGCCTCACCTCTAAGCACCATAGTTGGATTGTGTTACTAACATTTTTTGTTTGTTTTTGTGCCTGTAGTAGGGTTTGAACTCTTCTTGCTTAGCTTTTTTGCTCAAGCTATACCACTCAAGTCACACTTCTTCCCCCTTTCTCTTTTTTTTCCCCTCCTCCTCCTTTTTCTTCATCTTCCCATTTTGCCAAGACTGCCTTTAAACTTTGTCTTACTGCCTCAGCCTCACATACTAGGCAAGTGTTCCAGTTCTGATCCATATGTATGGATTAAATTTTCATACAGAAACCCTTGTGGGACACATTCAAGCTGTATCCACACTTCATGGCACACAGAAATTTTACTAATAATTTTACTAACAGATCTAGTGACAACAAAAATACTATTAAGTTTATGAACTGCATCTTAAAGAATACTTGGAAAATCTGGGTGCTGGTGTTTCAGGCTTGTAATCCTAGCTGCTCAGGAGGCTAAGATTGCAGGATTACAGATTGAATCTAAAGCAGGCAAGAAAGTCCGTGAGACTGTTACCTCCTCCAATTAACCACCAAAAAGCTGGAAGTGGAACTGTGTCTTAAGTGGTAGCCTTGAGCAAAAGATGCTCAGGAACAGTGCTAGACTCCAGCTCAAGCACTACTACTAGCACCAAAAAAAAGCTTACAGAATTATTTCACCTCTTTTTTTTTTTTTGCAAAAGGCAAAAGTAGAAATCTACAAGTCCACTTTAAGAAATGTGAGGTTCATGGCTGGGAAGGTGGCTCAGTGGTAGAGTGCTTGCCTCGCATGCATGAGGCCTTGGGTTCCACTCCTCAGCACCACATAAGCAGAAAAAGTCGGAAGTGGTTCTGTGGCTCAAGTGGTAGGGTGCTAGCCTTGAACTGAAGAGCTGAGGGACAGCGCCCAGGTCCAGAGAGTGCAAGCCCCATTACCGACAAAAAAAAAAGAAATGTGAGGTACTGGCCATAAATTGATAACATTTATAATACTTATTTCTTTGTCTTTTTTGTTGGTTGGACATGAGATTTGAAGTCAGGGCCTGAGCTTCTTTGCTTTGCTCTAGGCTAGTGTTCTCCCACTTGGAGCTACAGCTCCATTTCAGGTTTTTTGTTTTTTGTTTTTTTAACGTTAATTGGAGATAAGAGTCTCATGAACTTTCCTTCCCCAGCTGATTTCAAAATCATACTGCTCAGATCGTAGCCTCCTGAGTAGATAGGATTACAGGTGTGAACCACTGGCACCTGGCAATCTTTCTTTCATATTGTAAGCTTTCTGGATTGTTAAGCATGAATTATTTGTCATAGATTTCCACATATGACTCATTCCTTAGGATCCTCCCCAGTAGGAGTTTTCAAATACTTGTTTTGTTTATCGTGGGGCCTGAACTCTGGGCCTGGGCACTGTCTCTCAGCTCTTCAGTTCAAGGCTGGCGCTCTACCACTTGAGTCACTGTGCCGCTTCTGGCTTTTTCTGCTTATGTGGTGCTGAAGAATCAAACCCAGGGCCTCATGCATGCGAGGCAAGTGCTCTACCATTGAGCCACCTTCCCAGCCCCTCAATTACTTTAAACATATTGTTAAAATAGAAAATCTTGCCTGGTGCTGGTGGCTCACGCCTGTAATCCTAGCTACTCAGGAGGCTGAGATCTGAGGCTCAAGGTTCAAAGCCAGCCCAAGCTGGAAAGTCCAGGAGACTCATCTCCAATAAACCACTAGAAAACCAGAAGTGGCACTGTGGCTCAAGTGGTAGAGCAGTTACCTTGAGCTGAAGAGCTAAGGGACATTGCCCACACCACGACCAACCAAAAAAAATCTCCTGTATTTTTTTTTTTGGTCCTGTCGTGGGGACTGAACTCTGGGCCTGGGTGCTGTCCCTCAGCTCTTCAGCTCAAGGCTAGCACTCTACCACTTGAGCCACAGCGCCACTTCTGTTTTTTTTTCTTTTTTGCTTATGTGGTACTGAGGAATCGAACCCATGGCCTCATGCATGCAAGGCAAATGCTCTATCACTGAGCCACCCTCCCAGCCCAATCTCCTGTATTTTTTAGGCTAGTAGAATTTCCAGCCAATATATAGTCATATTTTTAACCAAAACTTTACTACAAGTTTTGGATACCAACTTTCTGACATTCTGAAAGTATTAAAGTTTATGTGGGCTGGTAAGTTGGCTCAGTGGTAGAGTGCTTGCCTCACATGCATGAGGCCCTGGGTTCGATTCCTCAGCACCACATAAGCAGGAAAAGCCGGAAGTGGGGCTGAGGTTCAAGTGGTAGGGCGCTAGCCTTTAGCTGAAGAGCTGAGGGACAGCGCCCAGGCCCAGAGTTCAGGCCCCATGCCCAACAACAAGGAAAAAAAAATTAATTAGATGTGTATGTATGTATATATGTCAGTATGACAGTATGCCAGTTCTGAGGCTTGAACACAGGGCCTGGGCACTCTTCCTGATCTTTTTATTATTGTTTTTTAATAGGAAAATGGACGATGTATTACTAAGCTGGAAAACATGGGATTTCGAGTGGGACAAGGATTGATAGAAAGGTGAGCAGTATGGATTTGAAAATTTTCTTCCAGGTAGGTTGTGAATACAGATGGTCCATTTTAAAAGATTTTTTTTTTATCTTAATTCTCATTTTAATTCATTCCTGTTCTTTAACTCGCAGATTGAATTTCTTTTTCAGGGAGATGTGGGTATAGCTCAGTTGTAGAGCTTGTGCTTGGCCTTTGCAAGGCCCTGGGCTCAACACCTAAATAACCTAAAACCAAAAGCAAAACAAAACAAAAAAAAACCAAACCAGAAGTTTGGTGTTACTTTAATCCAATCAAATTTTGCTTTCATTTGCTTCTTTTTTGAGTCTTGTACAGTCCAGACTGACTTTGAATTTGAAAATCTCTTGTCTCAGCCCCTGAGTGCTTCAGTTTCAAGTGCATGCCACCATCCTTGGCTTCACACTTTGTTTTTTTTTTTTTTTTTTTATTTATTGTAAAGCTACTATACAGAGGGTCACAGTTACATGAGTGAGGTTATGAGTACACTTCCTCTCGAACATTGTTACCCCCTCCATTGTTTTCCCCCTACCATCCCCTCCCTCCCTCCCTTCCCCGAGGTTCTTTTTTTTTTTTTTTTTTTGATTGTGATTAAATGATTACATAATTTCAAAGTCACAAGTTCATTCTAACTTCCCTGGAGCAAATTGTCTACCACAGTCTGTAATATATAACAGTGTTCACATGTTATATACCATATTTGTGATCAGCAGCATGAGGATATTTAGTAGTGGTTCAACCAGATGAGCGGGAGTTCTTTGTTTCTTAAGTCCTGTTAGTTTTGTCGTATCACTAACCTTTTGGATTTAGCATCCACTTATGAGGGAGACCATGTACCGTTTGTCTCTTCGTTCTTGGCTTACCTCGCTCAACATGATTCCTTCTAGCTCCATCCATTTCCCTGCAAATGCCATTATTTTGTCATTTCTAATGGCTGCATAATATTCCATTGTGTATAGATACCACAATTTTTGGATCCATTCATCTGTGGTGGGGCACCTAGGTTGTTTCCATATCCTAGCTATTGCGAACAGTGCTGCAATAAACATGGAGGTGCACGTGTCCTTGTATATTGGTTCCTGTTGTTCAGGGTAGATGCCTAGAAGTGGTATGACTGGGTCGTAAGGGAGGTCAATCTTTAGCTTTCTAAGGACCCTCCAGACTGCTTTCCAAAGTGGTTGTATAAGTGTACATTCCCACCAGCAGTGTAATAGGGTTCCTCTTTCTCCACATCCCCTCCAGCATTTGTCGTTGGCTGATTTGTGGATGTGGGACATTCTGACTGGGGTAAGGTGGTATCTCAGGGTTGTCTTTATTTGCATTTCCTTCACCACCAGGGATGATGAACATTTCCTCATGTGTTTCTTTGCCATTTTTATTTCTTCATTTGAGAAGTCCCTCTTTAGTTCCCTTGCCCATTTAGTAATTGGTTTGTTAGGTTTGGGAGGGATTAGTTTCTTGAGTTCCCTGTATATACAGGATGTTAACCCCTTGTCTGATATATTGCTGGTAAATATTTTTTCCCAATTAGTTGGTTGTCTTTCTAGCTTAGTTGCGATAGATTTAGCTGTGCAGAAGCTTTTTATTTTAAGGTAGTCCCATTTGTCGAGTCTCTCTCCAACTTGTTGTGACCCTGGGACTCTGTTCAGGAAGTTCCTTCCTGTGCCTATTAGTTCAAGTGTCTCTCCTACTCTGTCCTGCAGTAGTTTCAGAGATTCAGGTTTAATGTTAAGGTCTTTAATCCATTTTGAGTTGATGTTGGTGCATGGTGATAGGCTGGGGTCCACTTTTAGTTTTCTGCATGTGGCTGCCCAGTTTTCCCAGCACCAGCGGTTGAAGAGGCTGTGTTTCTTCCATTGTATGTCTTTGGCTCCTTTGTCGAATATCAGCTGGCTGTAGGCCTGTGGATTTATATCTGGGTCTTCTATTCTGTTCCATTGGTCTTCGGGTCTGTTTTTGTGCCAGTACCATGCTGTCTTTGTGATTATAGCTCTGTAGTAGAGTTTGAAGTTCGGCATGGATAGCCCTCCCATATTGTCTTTATCCCCTAGAATTGTTTTGGCTATTCTAGGTCTTTTGTTGTTCCATATAAATTTTTGGACTGTTTTCTGTATTTCAGTGATGTACGTCATTGGGATTTTAATAGGAATTGCATTGAATTTGTATATTAATTTTGGAAGTATCACCATCTTTACTATATTAAGTCGGCCTATCCAGGAGCATGGGAGGTCTTTCCATTTCCTAGTGTCTTCTGCAATTTCTTTCTTTAACTTTTTATAGTTCTCATTAAATAGTTCTTTTACATCTTTGGTTAGGTTAATTCCTAAATATTTTATTTTTTGGGAGGTTATTGTGAATGGGGTTGCTCCCTTTATTTCCCTCTCTTCCTGTGCGTTATCAGTGTATAGGAAGGCAACTGATTTTTGTGGGTTTATTTTGTATCCTGCTATTTTGCCGAAGTGACTTATGATTTCTAAAAGTTTGGGGATGGAGTTTTTGGGATCGTGGAGGTATAGTATCATGTCGTCTGCAAAAAGGGATAGTTTCACTTCTTCTTTCCCTATGCGGATCCCTTTAATGTCTTTTTCTTGCCTTATTGCCCTGGCTAAGGGTTCTAGGACTATGTTGAAGAGGAGTGGAGACAGTGGACATCCTTGCCTTGTTCCTGTTTTTAGGAGGATTGGTTGTAGCTTTTCCCCATTAAGTATAATATTGGCTATTGGTCTGTCATAAATGGCTTTTATTGTTTTTAGAAATGTTCCTTCTATTCCTATTTTCTCCAGAGCTTTTAGCATGAATGAATGTTGAATTTTATCAAAGGCCTTTTCTGCATCTGTGGCGATAATCATGTGATTCTTGACCTTGGCTCTGTTGATATGCTGGATTACATTTATTGACTTACGTATGTTAAACCATCCCTGTGTCTCTGGGATGAAGCCTACCTGATCATAGTGTATTATTTTTTTTATGTGTTTCTGGATTCTGTTAGCTAGAATCTTGTTAAGGATCTTTGCATCTGTGTTCATCAAGGAGATTGGCCTGTAATTCTCCTTTTTGGTTGGGTCTTTGCCTGGTTTGGGGATGAGTGTGATATTGGCTTCGTAGAATGAGTTTGGGATAGCTCCCTCCTTCTCTGTTTCTCTGAAGAGCTTGAGGAGTATGGGTATTAGTTCTTCTTTAAAGGTCTTATAGAATTCTGCTGTGAATCCATCTGGTCCTGGGCTTTTTTTTGTTGGAAGACTTTTGATAGCTTCCTGTATCTCATTATAGGATATTGGCTTATTTAATTGGTTAACTTCTTCTTTGCTCAGTTTGGGTAACTTGTATTTCTCTAAAAATGCATCCATTTCCGCCAGATTTTCTTCCTTTAGAGAGTATAGCTTTTGAAAGTAGTCTGTTAGAATTGTTTGGATATCTTGGGTACGTGTTGTGATGTTTCCCGTGGCATCCCTAATCCTATTAATATGGGTTTCCTCTCTTCTTTTTTTAATTAATCTTGCCAACGGGCCATCAATTTTGTTTATTTTTTCAAAGAACCAGCTTTTTGTTTGGTTTATTTTGGTTATGGTTTTCTGATTTTCTAATTGGTTAATCTCTGCTCTCAATTTGGTTATCTGGCTTCGTCTAGTAGCTTTAGGTCCCATTTTTTCTTGTTTTTCTAGCTGTTTTAGTTGCAACATGAGATTATTTACTTGGTCTGTCTCCATTCTCTTGATGTGGGCACTGAGGGCAATAAATTTGCCCCTCAGGACTGCTTTTGCTGTGTCCCACAAGTTTCTTTGTGAGGTGTTTTCATTTTCATTGAGTTCTAGGAAATGCTTTATTTCTTCTCTGATCTCTTCTGTTACCCAGGCCTTGTTAAGGAGTGTGCTGTTCAATTTCCATGTATTAGAGAAATTTCTGCGGTATGCTTTGTTATTGAGAGCTAGCTTGATTCCACTGTGGTCAGATAGGATACAGGGGATTATGTCGATCCCTTTGTATTTGCTTAAGTTCCTTGAATGAACTATGATATGGTCTATTTTGGAGAAAGTTCCATGAGCTGCTGAGAAGAATGTGTACTGTGTTGTTTTAGGGTGAAATACTCGGTAGATGTCAGTTAATTCCGCTTGAAGTATGGCCTCACTTAATTCGGTAGCTTCTTTGCCAATCCTCTGGTTGGTAGACCTGTCCTTTGGTGAGAGTGGCGTGTTAAAGTCTCCTAGTATTATCGTATTGGGATCTATTTTATTCTGTAAGTTTGAGAGCATTTGTTTAACATATCTGGGTGCACCGATATTTGGGGCATATAAGTTGATGATGGTTATATCCTCCTCTTGGATTGTTCCCTTTATTAATATGTAATGTCCGTCCTTGTCTTTCTGTACTGATTTTAATGAAAAGTTTATTTTGTCAGATATCAGGATAGCTACACCTGCTTTCTTATTGGGGGAATTTGATTGGTAGATCCTTTTCCACCCCTTCACTCTGAGTTTGTTTGTATGTTTGGCTGAGAGGTGGGTCTCCTGAAGGCAACAGATGGATGGGTCTTGTTTTCTGATCCAGTCCTCAGTTCGTTTTCTTTTAATTGGCGAATTCAGCCCATTTATATTAAGAGAAAGTATAGAGAGATGCATTGTTGTCCCTGCCATTCCGTTTTCCTAAGTTTTTCTTCTTTCCTTTCCTCCTGTGCTTGCTCAGTTAGACTTTGAGTAATGCCTGTTTGGGGCAGGTCCCAGTTCCTGGTTGCTTTCTTCAGGTTGTGTCCCCCCTCTTAGAATTCTTTGTAATGCTGGCTTAATGTTTATGTATTCATTTAGTTTTTCTTTGCTATTAAAAGTTTTCAGTTCTCCATCGAATGTGAATGCTAGCTTTGCCGGGTATATCAGTCTGGGTTGGCAGTTATTGGCTCTCAGGGCTCGTATGGTGCTTTCCCAGGCTTTTCTTGCATTCATTGTTTGTGTGGAGAGATCTGCAGTGATTCTAATTTTTTTCCCGTTGTAGTATAGCTCCTTCTTCATTTTTGCTGCATGCAGGATTGTTTCCTTATTATTCAGATCCATCATTGTTACTATTATGTGCCTAGAAGTGTTTCTCCTGGGATCTTGCTTGTTGGGTGTTCGATAAGCTTTTGTGATGTAGTTAAGATGGTCGTTTTTGAGGTGGGGAAAATTTTCATTGACTATCTTGTTAAATAGGTGTTGCATTCCCTTGCTCTGGAATTCCTCACCTTCGTCCACTCCGATTATGCGAAGGTTAAATTTTTTAGCATTATCTGCTTGCTCTTGAATTTCCCTTTGGTTTAATTTGAGTGATTTTTCCATATCTGTCACTTTTTGGTCCAGTTGGTGTATTCTGTCTTCTGTATCTGACACTCTACCTTCCATTTCATTCACTCTGTTGACCGTGGCTTCTATTGTAGTTTGCATGATGGAAATGGATCCCTTTATGGATTCAATGTTGGTTCTCAGAGTACTGATCTCACCTCTCAATGAGGTGATATCAGTATGCATTACCTCTAATTTGGCGTTTATCTCACTTCTTACTGAGGTTTGTGCAGCTTCTATTTTTGCATCCAATTTTTGTTTGATATCCTGTATATCTTTTGATAGTTCATCCTTGTGCTCTTTCAATTTCTGATCCATTTCTCGCTTTATTTCTTGAGTCATTGCCTCCAGCAACCCTTGGATGTAGTTTTTGTCTTCCATTCCTGCTTTGCTCCCACTGGGGCTCTCCCCTGCGTGGCTGCTGGCTTTTGAGGTGAGCTTGCTGTCCTGGGTAGTGGTAAACCTTGTGATTTTTCTCTGTGATTTTCGCATGGGGGTTCAGGAGACTGCTCTTCAATCTTGTTTTGGTGTGTCTGTCTTTGCTTGGTTGCTGATTCTCTATTGGTAGAGAGAGTCTGTGTCTGATCTGGATTCTGTTGGGAGCCTATTTCCAGCTGCTATTCACTTAGGATTCTCAGCTCTCTGCTGTAGCAATTCCCGCCTTTGGAAGGGTTGAGCAGCCTAGACTGCTTGTGTTTGCTCCTGCGGGTGCTCTTGGGAAGATCAGATGCTCTGGATGCACTCTCCCAAATACTGGAGTCTGCTATGGGCTCCTGATGTGTTTTTGTTTGTTTTGGGCTGGTTGTGGGCTTGAACTCTAGGTTTGGGTGCTGTCCCTCAGCTCTTCAGCTCAGGGCTGGCACCCTACCATTTGAGCCACAGCCCCACTTCTGACCCTTTTTGCTTTGTTCAGGCGCCGGTCCCCTGGCCTGGTTCCGGCCCCAGCCTGGAGCGCGCTCGTTAGGCCTGTGCTAATGTGTATACCACCTTGGTTATGCAGCCTGGAGGACACAGTTCAAATTTCTTCTACTGTTGGTAGTCTTGACCCAGGGGCACTGTTCCTGGCTTGAGCATTTAAGCTCCCTTCCCGGGGCGCTCTTGCTCTGGCCTGGCCAGCAGAGTGTGCTCCACCGGCTGGTGGGGCTCTCGAACAGTTCCCAGTTTTAGTGGGTCCTGTGGTCCGGGTGTTGGGGTAGGGAGTCTAGGTCAGGGTCTGGGGATTCCCTCCAGCTCTGGTCTCCCTTGATGGATTCCCTGTCCCCTGATGGGTACTCACCCTGTAGGTCGTCAGTTGTTGTTGCAGTCCGTCAGTTGTTGTTGCAGTCCGAGTTCAGTTGGGGTGGTTGCGGGCTGGGTTGGGCGGCCCCCCGCCGGGTCGTTGCGATCGCGACAGGTCCCTTTGTGGCGCTGCTGGTGCCGGGTGGCTTTGGTGGGATGGAGCCTCTCCGCTCCGGTGGAGAGTGATGGGTGGGGTGGGATCCTCCTGGAGACTCCCGGCTGGTAGGTTTCTCTGTTCCTGGCGATCCGCTGTTCTGCAGTCCGGTACCTGGTGATCTGCAAGCAGCCCCCTGTGTCTCTGTGGCTCCGGCAGCCCCTGCCGGGCCGGCTGGCCGGCGGCTTGGCGCACTGCCGCGCGGCCAGTAAAGGTTGGGGGAGGGGTCTTCGCTCTTCTCTGTTCTGAAATTCTTCTTTTCCTCTCTTTCTTTTTTTGTTATTTTCCACCTCTGGTTTTTCTCTGAGTGTTCGTCTTTTTGTTGTTGTCGGTCTCTTGGGGAGATTAAAGGTTGGAACTCGAACTCTCTTTTTGGTTGGAGAGAGCTGTGGCGTTTCCCTACTGCCCCGTCGCCATCTTCCACACTTTGTTTTAATATTTATAGAAAAAATGTTTTGTACATTTAAGATGATTTTCTCTGAAAATATTGGTGTATTGAAATAATTCAATTGTCGTTTCTCCCTTTTTTTTTTTCCTTTTTTTTTTTGGGTGCTGGTCCTGAGTGCTATCTCTTGAGTTTTTTTTTTTTTTTTGGGTCCGGTCGTGGGGCCTGAACTCTGGACCTGGGCGCTGTCCCTCAGCTCTTCAGCTCAAGGCTAGCGCTCTACCACTTGAGCCACAGCACCACTTCCGGCTTTTTTCTTTTTGCTTATGTGGTGCTGAGGAATTGAACCCAGGGCCTTAGGCATGCAAGGCAAGCACTCTACCACTGAGCCACCTTCCCAGCCCTCTACTGAGCTTTTCTATCTATGAGATTAAATTGTAGCTACAGTTTTGGTTTAAATGTTGCCAACACACTTGTAGGTGTATAATATATACATGTGAATTGATGAAGGTGGGATCTACTTTACTTGATACTTATAACTTTGTGACTCTCAGTAAATTTTAGAGCTGCGAAGGCAGCTGTGAATGAATGAAAGCAGTTGGTTTTCTCTTGGGGAAAGTGAGAAAGATATCTTTCCTTTTGTTTCTTTGGAAGAAATGCGTTGTGTTACTTGTGTTTGATCTTTTTAGGTTTACAAAAGATACTGCAAGATTCAAGGATGAGTTGGACATCATGAAGTTCGTATGTAAAGATTTTTGGACTACAGTATTCAGGAAGCAAATAGACAATCTAAGGACAAATCACCAGGTATTAATAAGTATTTTTCTTAGTAAAGTGAATGAAGACTAAGCCACTTTTCCCATTTATCCAAGCTAAATTAAAATTGTATCAAATGTCAAAATGACAATTGTTTTTTGAATTTAGTTAAAAGTGGTGATAATATACAGAACTACACATATACCACATTTATATCTTCAGAGTAATTTCTACATTTATAGACCATGTTTAAATAGCTTAAATAATTCTTTTTTTTTTTTTGAACATACTGTACAGAGGGGTTACAATTACATGGGCAGGATAATGCGTACATTTCTTACCAAGCATTGCAGCCTCCTCCTTTGTTTACCCTTCACATCCCTTCCCAGCCTCCCCCCTCCCCCCCCAACTTAAATAATTCTTGCATTGCTAATAACAAAATAAATTTTAGAGCATGTTTAAATAAATATCCCTTGCATTGTTTATTACTACCATTGATTTTTCTTTTTTTTTTCTTTCTTTTTTTTTTTTTTTTGTTGGACATGGGACCTGAACTCAGGGCGTGAGTGCTGTCCCTTAGCTCTTCAGCTCAAGGCTAGCACTTTACCATTTGAGCCATAGCACCACTTCCAGCTTTTTCTGCTTATGTGGTGCTGAGGAATTGAACCCAGGGCCCCATGAATGCAAGGCAAGCACTCTACCACTGAGCTACCTTCCCAGCCCTAATTTTTCTTTTTAAATTTCTTTTGCAGTGCTAGGGCTTGAACTCAGGGCATATACTGGGGAAGCACTCTACTGCTGGAGTCATATCCTCAGTCAGTCTGCTTTCAGTATTTTTCAGATAAGAGTGCCACATTTTGGGCTAGGAAAGTAGCTCAGTGGTAGAGTGCGTGCCTTGCATGCATGAGGCCCTGAGTTCAATTCCTCAGCACCACATAAGCAGAAAAAGCCGGAAGTGACGCTGTGGTTCAAGTGGTAGAGTGCTAGCCTTGAGCTGAAGAGCTGAGGGACAGCGCGCAGGCCCAGAGTTCAGGCCTCACAACCAACAAAAAAAAAGAAAGAGTGCCACATTTTGCCCAAGCTAGCCTTGATGTCATTCATCATTCTCTCCATTTCCAGAGTAGCTGGATTATAGGCTTGAACCATCACTCCTGGCTACTGTCATCTCTCTCTCTCTCTCTTTCTCTCTCTTTCTTTCTTCTTTCTTTCTTTCTCTCTTCCTCCCTCCTTCCTTCCCTCCCTCCTTCCCTCCCTTCCTTTCTTCCTTTCTTTCTCTCTCTCTTTCTTTCTTGCAAGTCATGGGGCTTGAACTCTGGGCCTGGGCATTGTCCCTGAGTTCTTCAGCTCAAGGGGAGTGCTCTACCACTTGAGCTACAGCGCCACTTCTGGTTTTCTGGTGGTTAATTGGAGATAGTCTCATGGACATTCTTGCAGGGGCTGGCTTTGAACCATGATCTGCATATCTCAGCCTTGATAGCTAGGATTATAGGCGAGAACCACTGACACTCAGTCTGTCATTTCTTTCTTTTAAAGGTTCTGTATGCCAAACACTAAAGGCATACGTTTTACATATCCCCCACCCCCTACCCAAAACTGTAGCTAGTGCTTTATCTTTTTTTCCTTGGCCCTGGGGCTTGAACTTTTGGCCTGGGTGCTGTACCTGAGCTGCTTTTGCTCAAGGCTGTAACTCTATCACTTGAGCCACAATGCCTTCTGGGTTTTTCTGAGTCGTTTACTGGAGATAAAAGTCTTCTGGAGTCGTGCCTGTGGCTCTCACCTGTAATCCTAGCCACTCTGGAGGCTGAGATCTGAGGATTGCGGTTCAAAGCCAGCCTGGGCAGGAAAGTCTGTGAAACTCCAATAAAACCACCAGAAAATCAGAAGTGGCTCTGTGGCTCAAGTGGTAGAGTACTAGCCTTGAGCTGAAGGGTTGAGGGACAGTGCCCAGGCCCAGAGTTCAAGCCCCACAACTGACAAAAAAAAAAAAAGTCTTATGGACTTTCCTGCCCGTGCTATCTTCTAACTGTGATCCTTAGATCTCAGCCTCCTGAGTAGTTGGGATTCCAGGCATGAGCCACCAGCACCTGGCTAGGACTTAACTTTTTTTTTTGGTCAGCCGTGGGGCTTGAACTCTGGGCTTGGGCGCTGTCCCTGTGCTCTTCAGCTCAAGGAGAGCACTCTACCGCTTGAGCCACAGCGCCACTTCCAGTTTTCTAGTGGTTTATTGGAGGTAAGAGTCTCATGGACTTTGCTGCCCAGGCTGGCTTTGAACCTTGGTCCTCAGATCTCAGCTTCCTGAGTAGCTAGGATTACAGGTGTGAGCCACTGGCGCCCAGCAGACTTAACTTTTTATTGTGTGTCAGTATTGGGACTTGAACTCAGGGCCTGGGGGCTGCACCTTAGCTCTTTTGCTCAGGACTAGCACTCTACTTCTTGAGCCATGGCTCCACCTCAGGCTTTTTGCTGGAGTGTTAAGGACTTTCCTGAAACTAGCTGACTTGAACTGTAATCCTCAGATCTCACCCTCCCGAGGACCAGGGTTACAGGCATGAGCCACTGGCATGGGGCTTTAGGACTTAGTTAAAGTGATAACAGGAAAAAGATACTCCATTTGCTGACATTTGTATTATCATGGTCCTCATTAAGCTCAAGTCCTCGTGCTTAGTAGGTAGATATAGTACCACTTGAGCCATGTCTCCAGCCCCTCTTTGCATTGGTAATTTTCAGTCTAGTGTCTTGCTTCTTTTTTTTTTTTTTTTTGGTCTGGTCATGGGGCCTGAACTCTGGGCCTGGGCGCTGTCCCTCAGCTCTTCAGCTCAAGGCTAGCGCTCTACCACTTGAGCCACAGCACCACTTCCGGCTTTTTTTCCCCTGCTTATGTGGTGCTGAGGAATCGAACCCAGGGCCTCATGCATGCAAGGCAAGCGCTCTACCACTGAGCCACCTTCCCAGCCCGAGTCTTGCTTCTTATGCCTAGGCTGGACTGGTCTATGACCCGCCTAGTTGTGTTTAGTTGTGTCTGTGGGGATTACAGGTATATACTTCTCTGCACAGCCATTGGTTGAGATGGAGTTTCACAAACTTCTTTTTGCCTAGTCTGTTCTTAAACTATGATCCCCAGTCTCTTCCTCCCAAGTAGCTAGGATTATAGGCTTGAGCCACTATTCTTGGTTCTATGTTGTTTTTGGCTCATTATTGTTTTCAGTGCTGTCAGGGATAAAACCCTGAGATTCCATACCACTGAAGTACATCTTTGAGATCCCTTTTACATCCTCCTGCCTCAGCCTCTTGAGTGCTAGTATTATAGGTATATACCACAACACCTGGTTTTCTTAAGTTCTTTAAGAGGGACTGTTTCACTCATCTTTTAATTTTCAATGTATAGATTTATCCAGTAAATATATTAATGTTATCAAACATTGAACTCATGACTTATGTCTTAGAACATTTAAATTGTTTTATAAGGAATAAGATACTTTTTAGGGATTATAGGTTATACTAACTTTGGATGTTTATATATATTCGTATTGTTTTTTGAAACCAGGGCATCTATGTACTTCAGGACAACAAATTTCGTCTGCTAACTCAGATGTCTTCAGGAAAACAGTATTTAGAACATGCATCCAAGGTATTTAATAAGTTAGACTACTTAAAAAAAGGAGGGGAGGGTCTGGGAACGTGGCTTAGTGGTAGAGTGCTTGCTTACATGCACAAAGCCCCAGGTTTGATTCCTCCGTTCCACATAAACAGAAAAAGCCAGAAGTGGAGTTGTAGATCATGTGGTGGAGCACTAGCCTTGAGCAAAAGAAGCTCAGGGACAGTACTTCAACTTAGAGCCTGGGCATTGTCCTTGAGCTTTTTAGATCAAGTCTAGTTAGCACTGTATCACTTGAACCATACTCCATTTCTGGGGCTGGGAAGGTAGCTCAATGGTAGAGCGCTTGCCTTGCATGCCTGAGGCCTTGGGTTCCATTCCTCAGTACCATATAAGCAAAAAGAAAAAAGCCGGAAGTGGCGCTGTGGCTCAAGTGGTAGAGCGCTAGCTTTGAGCTGAAGAGCTGAGGGACAGTGCTCAGGCCCAGAGTTCAGGCCCCATGACCGAACCACCTCCCCCCCCCAAAAAAGAAAGAAAGAAAGAACCATACTCCATTTCCAGCTTTTTTTTTTTTTTTTGTGGGGCTTTTTTTGGGGGGTTGTGGGGCTTGAATTGTGGGCCTGGGTGCTGTCTCTGATCTCTTCAGCTCAAGGCAAGCACTTGAGCCACAGCTCCACTTTCGGTTTTCTGGTGGTTAATTGGAGATAGGAGTCTCATGGCCTTTCCTGCCTTGGCTGGCATTGAATTGTGATCCTCAGATCTCAACCTCTTGAGTAGCTAGGATTGCAGGTGAGAGCTACCAGCACCCAGCGTTTGTTTATTTTTTTTATTTTTTTTGGGTCCCATCGTGGGGCCTGAACTCTGGGCTTGGGCACTGTCCCTCAGCTCTTCAGCTCAAGGCTAGCGCTCTACCACTTGAGCCACAGCGCCACTTCCGGCCTTTTTCTTTTTGCTTATGTGGTGCTGAGGAATCGAACCCAGGGCCTCATGCATGCAAGGCAAGCACTCTACCACTGAGCCACCTTCCCAGCCCCCGTTTGTTTCTTTTTTTGGCGTGGGTCTTGAACTCTGGGCCTGGGTGCTGTCCCTGAGCCTTTCAGCTCAAGGCAAATGCTCTACCACTTGAGGTATGGTTTTTCTGGTGTTTAATTGGAGACGAGTTTCACAGACTTTCCTGCCTGGGCTGGCTTTGAACTGAGATCCTTAGATCTCAACTTCCCGAATAGCTAGGAATCCAAATGTGAGCCACCAGCACCTTGCCATTTCCAGCCTTTTTTTTTTTGGTCAGTTGTGGGGCTCTGGGCCTGAGTGCTGTCCTTCAGCTCTTCATCTCAAGACTAGCGCTCTACCACTTGAGCCACAGTGGCACTTCTGGTTTTCTGAGTGGTTTATTGGAAATAAGAGTCTCACAGCCTGTCAGAAAAGGCCATGAAACTCTTACCTCCTCCTTTCTTTGCTGGGGAAGATGGTGCTTGACTTTGTTACCCAGGCTAACCTGGAATTCCTGGGTTGAAAAGATTCTTCTAGGGGCTGGGAAGGTGGCTCAGTGGTAGAGCGCTTGCCTTGCATGCCTGAAGCCCTGGGTTCACTTCCTCAGCACCACATAAGCAGAAAAAGAAAAGCCAGAAGTGGCACTGTGGCTCAAGTGATAGGGCGCTAGCCTTGAGCTGAAGAGCTGAGGGACAGTGCCCAGGCCCAGATTTCAGGCCCCACAACCGGACCCCCCACAAAAAATAAAGATTCTTTTACATCAGCTTCTGGATTAGCTAGAACTAGACGTTTGTACTCTTTCCTTCCCAGCTTTTCACAACCTTTCTACAAAAGACAGCAATGACTTACATACTTAATTTAGCGATGACTTGTTGATAACATGGCTTGAACTAAATGTTACATTTATTAATACTTTTCTCATTTAGTGAGTCCTTACTGTTTTTTTTTTTTTCTTTCAGTATCTGGCATTTACATGTGGCTTAATCAGAGGTGGCTTATCGAATTTGGGGATAAAAAGTATTGTAACAGCAGAAGTGTCTTCAATGCCTGCCTGTAAGTTGAAAGTTGGATTCTACTTAAAATATTTTTAGGGATTTTTTTTTTAGGTACGTTTTGTGTTTTAAATGTAGAGGAAATTGAAAACTCAAAACATTCATCTTAGTGTCAACTTGACACTAAACTTAATGTGGTAATATATGCCATACTATATTCATCTTCATCTATTTTCAAATTAGTAATTGACTAAGATTTTGGAAAATCCAAAGAAATTTAATTCTATAAGACAACCTTTTTTTTCAAAAAGAATGAACACTAGTAAGTAGAGAGGAAGGAACTTTAGCTTGGTCTCCCCAGTGAACCGGGATGTTGGTATTCAAACCCCTTGGATAAACAGTAGAGGCTCCTTACTGATGGCTCATGCCTATAATCCTTGCTACTTAGGAGGCTGAGATCTGAGGATCATGGTTTAAAGCCCATCTGGGCAGGAAAATCCATCGTGAGAGTCTTACTTATCTCCAGTTAACTACCAAAAAGCCAGAAGAAGGGGCTAGGAAGGTGGCTCAGTGGTAGAGCTCTTGTCTTGCATGCATGAGGCCCTGAGATCGATTCCTCAGCACCACATAAGCAGAAAAAAGCCGGAAGTGGCGCTGTGGCTCAAGTGGTAGAGCGCTAACCTTGAGCTGAAGAGCTAAGGGACAGTGCCCAGGCCCAGAGTTCAGGCCCCATGACCAGACCCCCCCCAAAAAAAATACAAGAAGAGCTGTGGCTCAAGTGGTGGATTGCTAGCCTTTAGCAAAAGAAGTGTTCAGTGACAGCACCTGGGTCCTGAGTTCAAGCCCCAACATCAGCACAAACAGAACAAAACAGAACAGAAAAGGTCTTGGTGGAATAATCTGCAGGGGGATGCAGGACCAGGTGGAGCATGGGAATACTTTGTAATTGGCAAACTCTTTCCTTTTCTTTTTGGTTGGTCTGGAGCTTGACCTCTGGGCCTGGGCACTGTCCCTCAGCTCTTCGGTTCAAGGCATGAGTGCTCTACCACTTGAGCCATAGAGCCACTTCAGTTTTCTGGTGGTTATTTGGAGATAAGAGTCTCACAGATTTTTCTGCCTGGGCTGGCTTTGAGCTGTGATTCTCAGATCTCAGCTTTCTGAGTTGCTAGGATTACAGGTGTGAGCCACTGGTGCCCAGATTTTTTTTTTTTTTTTCTTTCTTTATCATGGGGCTTGACTCTGGGCCTGGGCACTGTCCTTGAGCTTTTATACTAAAGGCTAGTGCTCTACCACATGAGCTATCACAGCTCCACTTCTGGTTTTCTGTGGTTAAATGGAGGAGTTTCATGGACTTTCCTGCCTGGGCTGGCTTTGAACTGTAGTCCTCCAGTCTCAGCCTCCTGAGTAACTAGGATTATAGGTGCAAGCCACCAAGGCCAGCTGATACTTTTTAGTTTTTAGAGTTTAAAATATATATAGTATATAAAGCTAAATAAAACCAACTGGTCACTAAATTTCCTTAAGATCTCTTCACTGGGGCTGCTAACTAGGAATAAAATTTACTTGTGCTTCCTTGTATTACCTTGCCTTTACTGTGATAATTAGCAATAAACTACCCAGAAGGTGGGATTTACAAAAAAGAAAGGCACCTACTTCTAAGCCAGAGAATTATTTAGTAAAAATGGAATTGATTTTATTGAGCACTGGTGAGGGGTGTAGAAAGATCTTTGACACGGCAAGTTTGTTGATTGAATCTGCTTCCTAAATGGCACAGAAAAATTGATGTATGGACTTGTTTTCCTTGTATCTAAAAATCAATGACTTATGCTTTCTTTTTCAGGTAAATTTCAAGTGATGATACAGAAGCTATAGATTATACTGACATGCAAGACTTCTGGATTGTAAAGAGATAAATTATTCATGTATAAAGTGTTTTAAGTAATGCTTTGTTAGATGTTTGTTCAGAAGTAAGGGTTCACTTTATCAATTGAACACAGGCCAAGTTAAAGCAGAGATAAAGGGTAATGTGATATAAATGTTACTCATACTATTTTAAATGAAAACCTAATTTCAAATAACTAAACACCAAGGCGTAAACTTTATTTTCAATATTTTTTATTTACTTAGGGTGATATATATTTAACCACAGACGAAAAGCAAAACTCAGGATTTGTTGAATTAGCATAAAGAAAAACATGCAGTAAACAGAATCATTTCTGTAAGAATTCCAGAAATTGGTTAAAGTTGTTTTAGTTATTTTAAAGAAGCAAACAATATAGTAAATTAAACTTAATTTTTAATTTATTTCTATTTGAGAACCTTTATGTCTGTATAAGTATGTCATGTATACATGGTGTGTTTGTGTGTATATATAAATACATGTGACTGTTAAAATTGCTTGAAAATTTAATTTCACTATGTTAGATTCTAGTCCTCGATAGGTCATGTCATATAATCAATATGAAATACAGATTAGTTTAAATGTAAAGTTAGTGACTCCATGGCCAAAGAATACAACATATATTAGGAAGAAATTTTTCTACTTATTCCTGTATCATTCTTGACTTTGAGCTTTTCTCTTCATGCATGGAAGTTCTGGCGAAAGTTATACCATCTTTTTTTTTTTTTTTTGTCGGTCGTGGGGCTTGAACTCTGGGCCTGGGTGCTGTCCCTGAGCTCTTCAGCTCAAGGCGAGCGCTCTACCACTTGAGCTACAGCGCCACTTCCGGTTTTCTGGTGGTTTATTGGAGATAGGAGTCTCACGGTCTCTCCTGCCCGGGCTGGCTTTGAACCGCGATCCTCAGATCTCAGCCTCCTGAGTAGCTAGGATTACAGGCTTGAGCCACCAGCGCCCGGCAAGTTATACCATCTTTATCTTCATCCCCTTACATACTCTTTCACAAAGGCAGAGGGGTAATAGTCACACCAGCATTCTCTGGGATCGTATTTTCTCCATGGCTTGGGATTACTGCTCATCTTCTGTAGGTCTCTTAAGTATCTTTTTGGATTACTTTATTTTAATTATATGGCTTAAGCAGCTGTCTTTTTTTTGGGGGGGGGGGTCCAGTAGTGGGGCCTGAACTCTGGGCCTGGGCACTGTCCCTCAGCTCTTCAGCTCAGGGCGAGTGCTCTACCACTTGAGTCACAGCGCCACTTCCGGCTTTTTTTTCCTGCTTATGTGGTGCCAAGGAATGGAACCCAGGGCCTCAAGCATGCAAGGCAAGTGCCAGCCCTGTCTTTGAAATTTGTTAAAACTTTGCATATTGGAATGCTTGCCTTTGATTATTCAACTGCACTTATATCTGGTGTGGTGGGTAATACCTGAGGGAAGTGAAGGCAGGAGGATCACTAGCTCAAGGTCAGGAAACAAAAGAAAATGAAAAGTGTTTACCATTTAATTACTGAAATGGGGGGCGGAGGGTGATTGGCAGGGAAACATGTATGAAATTGGCAAATTAGAACTGGGTGCCAGTGGCTCACGCCTGTAATCCTAGCTACAGAGGAGGCTGAGATCTGAGGAACATGGTTCAAAGCCAGCCGGGGCAGAAAAGTCCTTGAGACTCTTATCTCCAGTTAACCACTAGAAAACTGGAAGTGGTGCTGTGGCTTAAGTGGTAGAGTGCTCACCTTGAGCTGAAGAGCGTAGGGACAGCGCCCAGGCCCAGACCAGAGTTCAAGCGCCACGACTGACAAATAAATAAGCAAATTAGAAAAGAGTGACTCCTTTAACAAATGAATAGAAAATTAGCAATTAGAATTAGCTATTTATTGGGAGCTGGAGATCAGAGATGGAGGTTGAGGTCAGCCAGAGCATATAGTTCATTACTTCATTTCAGCCAATGGCTGGACACGATGGTGTAGGTCTGTTATTCCATCTACTGGGAAGCATAGTGACTGGGCCTAATAGCACTGTTATCCCAGCAACCAAGTGAAACCAAAAATGGGAAGATGACAGTTCAAGATGGCTAGGGTATAAAGGGAGTCCCTGTCTTGAAAACAGCCAACCCAAAAGGGCTGGGGAATAGTTCAAGTAGTAGAGTACCTGCCTAGCAATCATGAGACTGAGTTGAATCTCTTAATATCAACCCTCCCCCCAAAATTATGTATATATATATTTTTTTGGGTCTGGTAGAGGGCCTGAACTCTGGGCCTGGGCACTGTCCCTCAGCTCTTCAGCTCAAGGATAATGCTCTACCACTTGAGGCACAGTGGCACTTCCGGCTTTTTTTCCCGGCTTATGTGGTGCTGAGGAATCGAACCCAGGGCCTCATGCATGCAAGGCAAGTGCTCTACCACTGAGCCACCTTCCCAGCCCCTCCCCCCAAAATTATGAAACTGAAACTCAGTATACCTTTCTAAATATGAAATAGAAAGGTATACTGTATTATCATGATACAAATTTTTCTTTTGTTTTTTAGGGGGATATGGGTTCCAGGGATTGAATTCAGGGCCTGGTGTTCTTGCTGAGAGCTTCCTTGCACATACTTGGTATTCTATCACTTAAGCCACACTTCCAGTCTGGCTTTTTTTCCCCTAGTTAGTTGGCAGTGCAGTCTCAGACTTTTCCGCTTGAGTTGGCTTTGAACTTCAGTTCTCTAGAGCTCTATCTCCTATGTAGCTAGTATTAGAGATGTGACTCACCAGCATCTGGCCTCAAGATGTAAATTTAACTTAATTTATTAAAGCTGTCCTAATTTTCAGATGATTTAGAACAAGTTTATCAGATTTTGAGGAAAAAATACTTAAGGAAAGACTATGAGAAATGTAAAAACATAATGTAAGTCTTGTCAGGTTTTGTATATGTATATATGTGTGTACTGCTAATTGAGGCTTGGATTAGGGGCTGTGTCTTTTTTTTTTGGTCAGTTGTGGGGCTTGAACTCTGGGCCTGTGCACTGTCCCTCAGCTCTTGAGCTCAAGGTTAGTGCTCTACCACTTGAGCCACAGCGCTATTCCGATTTTCTGGTGGTTTATTGGAGATAAGAGTCTCATAGACTTTCCTGCCCTGGCTGGCTTTGAACCGTAATCCTCAGATCTTAGCCTCCTGCGTAGTTAGGATTACAGGCGTGAGCCACAGCTTCAGGGATGTACTCTTTTTTTTTTTTTTTTTGTTGGTCGTGGGGCTTGAACTCTGGGCCTGGGTGCTGTCCCTCAGCTCTTCAGCTCAAGGCGAGTGCTCTACCACTTGAGCTACAGCACCACTTCCAGGGATGTACTCTTAACTAAGCTTTTCACTCAAGGCTGGTGCTCTACCATTTGAGCCATACCTTCAGTCTTTTTGCTGGTTAAGTGAAGGTAAGAGTTTCTAGGATTTGTCTGCTTGTGCTGGCTTCAAACCTTAGTCCTCACATTCTAGCTTTATTTTAATAAAAATGCCATTTAAATAAGAGAAAAGCTGTCGGGCACCAGTGGCTCAGGCCTATAATCCTTATAGGCTTTATAGGGGTGATCCAGCAGTGCCTGACTTAACTTTGGCATTTAAAAAAGATCAAGGGGCTGGGAGGTTGGCTCAGTGGTAGAGTGCTTGCCTTGCATGCATGAGGCCCTGGGTTCAATTCCTCAGTACCACATAAGCAGAAAGAAGCCCAAGTGGCACTGTGGCTCAAGTGGTAGGGCACTAGCCTTGAGCTGAAGAGCTGAGGGATGTCTGCCCAGGCCCAGAGTTCAGCCCTCATGACAAACAAAACTAAAAAAAAATTTAAAAAAGATCAAAATACAGAATTACAAAATAGGGCAAATGTAGTATGTTTGTGAGAAAGGTATTTCAAGCCACATAGTTATTCATTTGTTGACCCATCTTCCCTCTGTTGATAACTCCCATTATAACCTCTTATGTGCTAGGTAAATACTGCCACTGAGCTAATCCCCAGCCTGGTGGTTACTCTCTGGCTGCTTTGTGCTATAGTGAGGTACTGCTTCCCTAGTCCCACAAAAGTGTGTGTTGAGTAGATTCTAAGATAATCATGGTAATTTTGCTTATCCTGATATTTTGAGAAAGTTCTAGATAATGAGCTAAAAGGGAGAAATCTGAGTTTTGGAAAATTTCTTGTTGCTTTCAAAATGAATAGAAGCAGTAAGGGTTGGTAGCACACACCTGTAACCCCACCATTTGGGAGATGGAGGCAGGAAGGTTCCAAGTTTAAGACCAGTCTAGGCTAGACTGCAAGCATGCGTCCACCTTGGGGTACATATGCCAAATCAAAAACAAAAAAATCACAAACATGGATACAAGAGTTAGGGGTACAATCTGGTGGTACAGTGCTTATCTTTCACATGAGGCTCTCAGTTCAATCCCTAGCAGTGAAAAAAAAATACATGGCAGATTAACTCTCCTCTCTCGACCCCCTTTTTTGTGCTGATCCTGAGGCTTGTGTTTAAGGTCTTGAGCTCTTGCTCAAGCGTAGTGCTTTACCAATTGAGTCATGCTTCCAATCTAGCATTTTGCTGGTTAATCAGCAAAATGGAATTTTCCAGACTTTCCTACCCACAGCTGAGTTTGAACTGTGATCCCTAGTACCAGCCTTTGAGAAACTAGGATGATGGGTGTGAGCCAGCATCCCCAGGTTCCATTCTTTTGCGCCTCTCTCTCTGTCTCTCTCGCTTTCTTTCTCTTTTTGGCCAGTCCTGGGGCTTGAACTCAGGTCCTGGCTCTGTCCCTGAGCCTCTCTGTGTTCAAGGTTAGCGCTCTACCACTTCAGCTACAGCACCACTTCTCACTTTTTCTGTTTATGTTAGGTACTGAGGAATCAAACCTAGGGCTTCATGCATGCTAGGCAAGCACTCTACCACTAAGCCACATTCCCAGCCCCCTCTTGCATCTTAGTGAAGGTATGTGATGATGGCTGTCTTAAGGCAATCTGCAATGATCTCTGATGACCATGAAAGGAAGAATGTGGAAACCAGGGTTCCTAAGAATTAAATTAAATTAGAAGTACAAATACCATATGACCCAGTTCTCCCACTTATACAGGGTCCCACAAACCACCCACCACATTTTCTCCACTCTGACAAACACAGTAAAGCAAGGTCCCTTGAGAGCTCTGATCCAGCTAGCTATATAGGAACTCAAACCAGGTTTTGAACATTTGTAAGTACTACTGTTAAAGGCGTTTTGGTTGTTGATGCAAATACTAACATACAAGTCCTGGCCCTAAGACATATAAAATAACTCCAGTCTCCAAACCCCTTGTGGCTGACATATTAAGGTCAACACTGTTGTGTCCCAAGAATGTACAAGTTCCTTAACACATTGGATTGATTACTCTGGTGTTAGAACTTTTGTCATCCCAACTAACTCCAAATGGACAGTTTGGGGCAGTCTTTTGTAGGAACTACTCTACTGTTAAGATGACAGTATTCAAAAGAAGAGAAATTGAGATCTGGAAGAGATCACTCCCTGTTCACTGTAAC